TCATTGCCTCTACCACGGCCTCGCCCCCTGCCTCGGCCTCTTCCATAGACTCGGCCTTGGGATCTACAACCGCCACGTCCTCGTCCTCTTCCACCACCGCCTCGACCACGGCAAGACACAGATGAAATATTTCTTGTGGTTCGAGTGGGTTCAGCGACATCAAGTGGCTCGGCTAAGTAATTCAAAGCCTCCTGGAAACTCTCCCGTAGATGCGGAGTTGCTTGAATGACTGACTTGGCTGTTTGGTTTGGGTTCTTGTAATGCCGGACAGAAGCTGGCGAATCTTGCGGCTCTCAGTAAAGGTTTCACCAGCAGTTTCCAGATCGGTGAAGGCCTTGGTAAGCCTTTCACAGTAACGCTCAAAAGTGAAGTTGCGGGACCTCCCATCAAAGAAAGTAGTTTCAATGGCTCTATCCGCGAATGCCTTCGTACGAGCCTGGAACGAATCACCAAGATAGTGAAACTTCATGGCCAAGTAAGCTGCTCGACCTTTCTGTTGCGCTGCACAAAGTTGGACCCATGTCCAACCAGGTCAACCGTGAGTAACCGACCGAATGATGGCCCAAACAGCCTGGTTGTCTTGTACGAAATGAGGTCCGGCATGTCTTGTTCTTCGGACCAATTCTTCAGGATGCGATGGAAAGCCAAAACCTGGGTCAGCATCATCTGCAGTGTCGGTAACAGGTGCTCCTGGCAAAGTGACTTGGGATCTCGTAACATAAGCCCGAGGGGCACCGCAAACGCCTCGCTTAACATTCAGAACATTGTCAATAGACTCCAGAACTCGTCTGACATCTTCGACCTTCAAGAGTTGGGGGGGATCCGCAACATCAATCTCTTCTCGTTCGGACTCGTATTAAGCCCAAACTCTATTCAATCTCGCCAAACTGGCTTGGTTGGAAGTGAACTCACGCTGGATTCTTGTCATGTGAAACTTGTAGAACCGTAGTTCTCTGAGTCGCTTCTCAAAGACAAATCCCAGCTGTCGTCAACGGTTGGGAACTTCTCTGGGCTGAACTGCTGCGGCAGCTTCTGCAGTGGCTGCAGCCGCAATGGCTGGATTGGGAATGGTACCAACTGGTTTCCTCACGTTCTCGCAGATGCTCTTGATATCAGCATCGGTAAAGGTATCGATTGAGACGAAGGCATCCAATCCTTGATCATTCAATGCTTTCCTCGTGGCTAGTTCGGCAATACCGATAGTATTCTGTAGATAGTTGTTCATGGCTGCAAGATTGCCTGCCATATTCGCCTTCAATTACTTCTTCTCTTGCGGTATCACTTGGATGAGCAACAGTTGTTGGTGTTTGCTTCTCTGCTCCTATTCCAGCAGCAAACTGTACACACCCAGACCAGTAAGGCTTATTCCACGGATGAGCTCTGCACACCCAGTCTGTGGCAGTCTAGGTCCAAAACTCTTGGATCAGGGTCCCCTCTCCTTTGGCTCAATCGATTTCTTTGGTGACAAATGAGGACAGGAATTGATCCAGACTGCAGGGATCAATATTCCAATCCAAACCTCTGCTTCCCACTTGGAAGTCTTTCTCTCGCTCCCATTGAGAGAGCCCCTTCTCCTTGAGAGGTCTCTGTTGCTATGCCGCTTGGGGTCTTCTCTTCTTTCTCTTCTTCTTCTTGTTCTCGTTCGAACGTTTAGCTCCGAGAAACGGTAGCTTCGAATCGGCGACAATGGCGCTGCTTCGAGTGAACGAACGAAAGGTATCTTTTCGTCGAACCGTCGACAATGGTGTTCGAACGATTGACAAACTCCTTCTTCTTCTTCTTCTCGATCGACCGCGACAGGCGAACGGCAATGGGATATGACCGTCGCTTCGAACGAACGGTAGCGTCGTCGTCTTCTTCTCGTCGTCGTTCGAACGGTAGTTGCTTCGAACGGTATCTTCGCCGAAAGGTAGCTTCGACAATGGCGTTCGTTCGTTCGAACGGTAGCTCTTCTTCTTCTTCTCGCAACGGCCGATCGCTTGCTTGTTCTTCTATCGTAGTAGCTTCCACGCCTGATAAGCCGAAAAAGGCTGATGGTGGTGTTGATAAAGAGGTTGCTATAGTGTTGTGTGTGTTACTACTTGGTTGTTGTGGTTGATTTTAGTAATCTGGTAACTGGATAGTCATAAATCGCTACCACAGGTCATTTTCGGAAAAGGCTCCTTCCCGAGGAGTGAAATTCTAAAAGGACCGTTCGCAAGGTTCAGTCATTCCTTCTCAAAAACGATTTATGTGAGTCACAGATGATCCCAAACCAATCGCGTTCCAATAACTCTCATACGGTACTACTCCAGTGTTAAATTTTACCGGCCTCAAACCCATGCAAATCCATAGATCGGAGCATAGGCATGGAGGTGCCTCGCTTTCGGCAGTAGTGTGGCTTCTCATCAGTCACACAAGTCTCTGAGAACAGGCTGAGCAGAGCAAATAGTCTAAATTTAATTGTCAAACTTAGTCTTGGGTTCTTGCTATAGTATGATGAGTTCTTTCGTATGTTTGTTCGAACTTAACTCGGCGTCTGTCATCTATGCAACTACATGTAGTAGCTAGCTTCGGTACCAGTAGATTTCTTACAGCTCCGGATCCACCTCCAGGAGCCTCCAGCACAGAAGGATGCTAGTACCGGTACCGGTTTGGTACCGTAAAAGTACCGATTCGATTCGGGTTGCAGTTGGATCATTAAAGGCCTCTCAGTAGAGACTGCTGCTACCAGCTCGAGAGCATGTTATTACTGCTGCAACCGGACTCAGAACCACGGAACACAAAACCTGTTAGAATAAATGCATACATGTACATGTACATGTACTGGTACCGGTAACCGGTAGCTACCTAGCCTATTTTAAAATAGTGAGAGGCGAGTAGCGAGTAGTCTAGTATAGCTAGCTAGTACTAGTAGCTTGTTCCAATGGAAATACTCGAGTGATGGTCAAATCCAATTATACAGGATTTAACAATAAGCACTGTAAGATCAAAAATGACATAACAGCAGTCTTTCCAACTCGCACGAAGCTTATTTAAATTATGCTCCTCCTCAATCCGAGTGGTACCCTTGCTTTCCCACCGAACAAACACAAACAGAATTTTTCTCACAAAGCTCTCAATCCACTCATAGCAGCACCCTTTGGCCAGCGGTCCAGCCACAGGCCCTCCTCCGGAAGAAGACCTTTCAGTGGAGTCATAAAAACCACATTTCTTTGGAATGCATTATTTCTCAAGCTCAAAACAACCTAAGCTTCATTTCAACCATACTAACTAAAGCAAGCAACACAGCATCATGGGTTTCATGAAGATTTTCACCAACGTGCACCCTGACAAGTCCTGTATCAAATCCAACGGCAAAGATTGGAATGCAAGGACAAAAGAAGGCAGGAGGTCAAATCGTTTCTCTACAGACGACAAGGCAGTTGTGGTCAAGACGAATGAAGAGATCATTGCAGAATTCATGAATACACCAGTAAGGTACACAGTATGAGAGAGGCATGCAACCAACGTGAGCTGAAAAAAGCTTCTCGTGTTCCGAGCCGTTGGCTTGAATTTCCAGAACAGCCATCAAGTGCGGGAAACAGCGGTAGTGGTGGTACCACGGAAGAAGTGGGCCAGTAACTCAAGAGCGTCACGGTTGTGAAACAGTGGTGAGGAGATCGAGTAGATGTACGGTAAAGTACTAGTAGTGTATGATACAATCTTTCAATGAAGAAGCAAAAGTTAGTTAAATATACGCGAAGCTTTGTAGCTTTTGGATCTTGCGTGGGAATGATGTTGGGAATTGGGAACGAAACGCACATTGACTGAACCATAGAAGTCTGCAAGTACCTCTGGTTCGAGCCATCATTTGCAAGTTCAGACTCTTCAATCTCTCTCTCTCTCTCTCTCTCTCTCTCTCTCTCTCTCTCTTGGAAAGCAAGATCCCTGCAATATGAACCTACTAGTGGAGAGGATTTTCAAGCTCATGGAAGACCATTGAGCTTCTTCCGGATTGCCTTTTTAAGCCAGGAGGAGTGGCAACAAACAAGAGCCACAAATAAATCCGCTTTCTTGCTCGTTTTTGAAGCAAGTTGCATGGACGGAAGCCACATTGATGTGGTAGAAAACAGTCCGACCAATAGCTACCTGGTACCAGGTATGGTGTACCAGTTTCTTGTTCAGGTTTGTAGACGTGCTGTTGATGATTATGGTCTGACTGATACGGTAGCACCGGGTGGTGGCACAGGCAGCTGGCTGGGGTAAGACTGCCTATTAGCACAGCACATCCGCACCTCTAGCTAGTGGAGCGCAAAGCGCTCCTCTTGCTCAACAGAAAGGGAAAAAATGCTTGGAGGCTTCAGCAGGGAACAAGGCTAACGTACGGGCAATCATTGTACAGTCCTCATCCGTGGGATGGCAACTAGTCCACGCAAAAAGCTCGAGTTAGAAATGATACTGTAGATAGATTATCCACCGATTCGAGTCAGTCAGGGGAGACGTGTCCCACAGTAACGCTTTCCAGCCCTCGCTCGGAAGCCTCTTCACTGGTCTGCTGGGTAGGTATCCACCCATTTACAGGCTACGCTGTACGCTGGGCACGCCACTGGCTATGGAGGTGCTCTCCACATTCCATCATGTCGTTCCTTCGAGCGCGGAGTGAAGCACTCTTCCAATCCGGCTGGTGCAGAGGAAGCCTGCATTTGAAAAGCCTGCTGCATCCTGTTTGCATGGATCCGTTTCGAGATGAAGTCTTCTCTAGCTGCTAGCTAGCTAGGGGTTCAATGGGATTGCTTGTTGGTGATCTTATGAATTATGAATTATCTATCCAAATGTAACCAGATCTATCTGATGTAGCCAGAAGCCCCGATAGCAATACATTGCGAGTATCATCTAGAAGTTTGGGTGTTGAGGAGGGGAGGAGATTGCAGTCCTGTGTTGTTTGGCGCTAGGCCTTAATGACTGGCCAATTCGACAGCCTCCAGTTGGACACGAGATAAAATCTCCAACGAGAGGCGACGCTTTTGAGCATTTGTAAGGCTGGTCTTTTGGCGGAGCGACTGAGCCAGTTCATGGTCTACCGTCTCTGGTTGAGTCTTGACGCCATATGCAAGCAAACATGGCTGCGTGGGAGTCGTGGCAGGAGAGCCGCTCATCGGTAACGAGAAGGAACGACGAATTACGTGGTGCAGTGAGGGCTGCTGTTGCTGCTGTCGTTGTTTCTGTTCGAGCTTTTCCTGTTGCCGATCGTGGGCTTCTAGATTTGCAACCTCTCGAGATGAGCGGACGGCATGGATGGCCAACATGTTCGGAGACCGGGATCCTCGACGCATGTATCGCCGACGCTTGTCCGTGGACTGCAAGAAGCTGTCTCCAACAAGCTCAGGTGATGGCTTGATCGAGAAGCGAACGGCCCGATTGTTTTTCGTTGAAACGGTGAACTTGGCATGATTGTTGCGCTTGTGTTGGTGCTGCAGGGAGTTGTCTTTCTTCAACGTCATTGTGTTTTGTTGTTTCTGCGCTTCGGAGTGAGAAGTGTTGGCTCGTGTTGAGTTCGAAGTTGCTTTTTTTGTGAGAGAACCAGGGGACTTCGCTTCGTTCTTGAGCTTCATTGTGCCTCCTCAATGGTCATAGTTCCGTGCAAATGACCCTTCTCGTCCAAACCCAGCACATAGCAAGGATCTCTTCCGATCAACCACGAATTCAATCCCCCACAGTCCACGCTTGAAGTGTCTACAGTGGACCTTTAGAAAGTGGGCTACATGATGTAATGTAGTCCAGTGGCCCTTGACCAGGCAGCAAGCAGAGAGCCTCGCAACGTTGGCAGGAGAGCAGGGCAATTTATATGCCGTGTGATGCTTTGTCCGCCCTTTCTCTGCTGTTCATTGCCAGGCGGATTGCAGAAAAGCGACCCAAACTAGGGCATCTGGGCTTGATCGATAGAAAAGCACTTGTTCTCTCACAGCAGGGCCTGCTGCAGTAGTATGGCGAACAAAATGAACCTTTTGGAGCGAATTATTGCTCACCTTGCAAAACCAACCAACCAACCAACCAGTTTTCGAGCGAAGTTACCACCATCAGGGTACCAGGGTACAACCCTAACGTCGCCCCTTATCATGACGCAGCCCACTAATGCGCTGAAGTGCGTACCGGTACTAGTATGCCACATGTAGCCAAGGCAGTTCGAGCGAGGACAAGTCAGCAAGGCAAAGGACTGCATCCTTGCTTCGCGGCTCGAAGGGGCCGACCACATCGGTAGCAGCCAACTAGTTACTTTATTTAGCAATAGTTTGAACTACACATCATAGTCTACAATCCAATGCTACCAAAGAGGGGCAGCTAGCTAGAGCGAGAGCAGCACAGGAAGGTGTCTTGGGGCGGCTCTAGTGGCTTTGTTGCATTGGTTACAGGTACGGCCCCGAGTTCTGCCTGGACATTGAAGGTGAGACGAAAATGACTTTTGATATTGTTTGGAGAAGTGTCCAGTCATGCATGGACAGGGGACAGCCAGCCAACTTGCTGGCCAACACATCAATCGAGGAGCTGTGTGATGTACGGTACAAACGAAGTAACCAAGCTCCCTGCTTGTTCATTAACCTGACCTTTCCAGGAAGGACCGCTACAGCCAAACACAGGGAAGCAGACGCAAAGAAAGCCAAGCAAACCAGTCTAGAGATTATTGAAGTGGCCTATCTAGCCCCTCGTGTACTACATGTACCGGTATCACTGCCTGCCATTTGAGTGGCTCTTCCTGTTCACCTGTGAAGTGACAAATTCTTGACACCCCACCCACATAGTCTACGGTACTGGTAGCCACGACGAGCAGGAGGTTTCTTTGTCCGCAAGAACTTTACTAACTGCTGCTGGCTGGCCATGGCGTCGGTATCGACCTTGGCTGCCTCAAGAACGCAGCCAGCCAGGCATGCTCCTAAACTACAGTAGAGCAACCAGCGAATCGACGGCTGACGCGACAAACCTCCAGAGCCGTTCGCCTCACAAGCCTTCTATCTTCTCCCTACCGGTACATGCAAGTTGGCTGCAGTTAGTCAACGATCTTTTGCTGTCCGATTGGAATGAAATCGGCGACTGGGAGTTTTTAGACCTAGTATGGCACCTCACTGGATGTTGATCTCCCTGTAAGGTAGAGCAGAGAGGTGTCAAGACTTCATATCGGAGAAACGCTAGTGCTGCCCTTCTCGGTACTACCATTTGGAAATTCGATGTCCGGGAAGCCATAGAGGCTTGTTCCGTCCACAGTTTCTGGAGTAGGCGAAAACAGGAGCCCACAGTGAAGCCTAAAAGTGAAATAAAGACTAAATTTGCTGGTGCATTCACTGGACATGGTGCAGGAGGTTGTAAGAAGCTGGAAAAGAGGAGCTCCATATCAGTCAGCAGTGATGGTAGATTCATGCGTCAACCTTGCTTTGTTCACTGAGAGAAACAAGCGACTGAATGCACAGCGTGAAATCTAATATAACTGTTGAAAAGGTTCAAAACCGTTCTTGTCGTTTTGTTGCTATAACTCCAAGCTTCGTCTTGCTACAGTGACATCTGCATCGCTATGGCTATACTAGTCCACTGTAGTTATCACCCTATAATGTTGGTAGTGTGGACTAGTTGCTTGTCTTGCTGGCAGCTTTGCAGGCACCTTTTTGGGTCACGACAGCCAGCAGCTTCATGAGCCAATGGATCAACAAGCAGTCAACGTGAGCGTCAAAGGCACATCTGGTATACTTTCAATCAGGATGACTGGTAGCGAGCTACACTTACGGTGGCAGTTCGTTGCGCCACCAAATTGCCCCACAGCCCACAGCCCGCAGTCTAGAGAACAATTTTGTCAAGCCACGCATCAACAAAGCTCACTGTGGGTGGTCGGGAGGTTACTGGAGCAACGAACTGGAGTGAAGATAGCTACGGGGAGAAAGGTCGATCGACTCCGACCAAGCAGCAATCACTTGATCCGACTGAATGAGAATCATTTTCCCTTGCTTTTATTGCTGCCATTGGCTACTTGATACCATACCGGTACTACATGTACAGTGGTCAGTTTGTACTGTTCGATAGTGTCTACGAACGGTGTTGCCACTATCATTAGCTACTGTTGGTGCTGGTGCGGAAGTTCGGGAGTTCTGGCTTGGAGCCGATTTGGTGCAGGAGCAGTGCGAGAAGGAAACCACTCCTGCAAGCAGGTCGGTTTTGGTTCGGGAGTCGATCGTCATTTTTTTCAGGATCTAGCCGTACCTGCAAACATTGACAGATGATATTATGATCCTCTAAAAACACAGAAACAAACTAACTCTGGATGGAGCTATCTTTTAGCTGTCGAATGTTTTCGGAGATCCTCCCTGTCTTTCACGTTTACCTTCATATGAGTTCGGAACAATTCTCAGCAGTCGCTTGGCTGAACAACCAAGGAGAACGTTGGCCAACATGTGATGTAGAGATTTCTTTTTGACTTCGGGGTTGTGCACATATCTTGAGGTGGTCCTGGGTCCCGAGAGTGCATTACTTGGGTCTAGTTTTGGGAATACGGCATCTGTCATGGTGGACAGAAGATCTCCACCTTTTATGTGGAGCTCCTCCAGCGCAAACAAAGCCCGTGGTTTGACGTTGCACGCGTGGATTGTTTGGTCTGCTCGGAACCGTGCTTTCTCTGTTATTGCCACCAGCGAGAGGGCTACTCTTGTCTGGTCAGCGGCGAAACTTGCCGCTGTTTTATGAAACAATTCTGGATGGAACAGGACAGCGTCACCAGGCTCCATGGGAGGAAGTGGTACTGAGACCCGGCCTAGCCGCTGCATGCATTCCTCATATCCTTTCCAATTTTGATGAACAAGTTCTCCTCCAATATGATCCAAGCCAGTGCAACCTTCTGTCAAGCTCCACTTGTGAGATCCATTTGCCATCACCATGGAAGCACCGTCAGGACCTCCAGTAGTGTTTGTGAGTGTCATCCAAATTGCAATCATTGTATCTTCGTCCTGTACAACTCGGGTTACGGGATGATCTCTATGCCAGTTGCCGCCCTCTTGACCAGGAGTCTTGATGTACAATGCGTCGAAAGCGTGGTACAACTCTTGGCTCCCTACCAACTGTTTTGCCACAAAGGGCTGGAATGTCGTTGATAGTGTCATGTAAGTTTTGGACACGGAAGAAAAGGTTCTGCGAAGAATGTTTGTCTCTGGAGTGAACATGTCAGACGCCTCTAGGTCTTTGAGCAGGGCAGATGTCGCCTGTTTGGAAACCAAATTGGGGACCACCACAAATCCATCCTCCTCATATTGTTTGCGAAGATACTCAGGTAGGCTTTGGGGTCTTAGATCAAACAAATCGGAGCTCAAGCGATTGGAAGATTCTACCTGTGCCAAAACAATGGATGCCCTCCCGACGACTAAAGCTAGCGTGAAGGTAGTAACGATTTGGGCTGCTCCGGCAAACGATTTAATGTTTTTAGCGCAGTACATCTTTGTGGTGCCTTGTTGTATCCAATCCTCTTTGAATTGGTTTGTGAGCAAAAGCAGCTACTAGCCGACAGAAACCTGTAGCTTTTCCCAGCTGATACGGTTCGTAGCTTCACTGCCATTCCTGGGCAGCAATCGAACTGGGGCAACTTCACACTTTTCAACGAAGCAACCACAAGCCGCTTTTGAGACACAGTTGAGCTACAGTCACGGTTGAGACTTTGAAAAATGTCATCGTCAAATTAGGGTTCAGGGTTTCTGAGAAGCACGCCATCAACCAAACAAATCGAAACCAACTCCGCCATCGCCACAACTAACTGCTTTCGACGGCAACCAGCCGCGGTTATGGTACCGGTACTTTCAATCCAACATGGACGGGCAACACCAACCCACAAATCATTATATCATCGAGTGCTCCCTCCCAAGAAGAAAGACCGTAGTAGACACCCAAATGCGGCGATGGCAGACTGCTATTGCGCGACAAAATAATAACAGTATTTGTCTCACGAGCACCGACAAGTAACATGTGACTGTTGCATTGCCGAAGGATTGCTTGGACTCGTCTCACCAATTCAGGGGCGGCCAGATTCAATCCATTCGATCGACATACTAGTCTTTATTAGTAGTTGTGGAATCTCCTGGTTGAGTTACAGTCAAATTTTGGATGATAATACGCCTATGACCAATGTCTGGGGTTTGCTTCAAGATGTCTGCGGCAGTCGCAGCAAGTGTCAAATGTCATGGGAGGACGAGTGACCTAAGTTGGCGACAATAACGGCATGGTAGTCAGGAAGCATTTGTTGCAGGGAAAGAAAACAACATTGCGAGCGACCTCATTGAAAAGTTGAAGTGAAACGGTGCCAAAGGCAACTGTTGCTAAAGAGGAGGACCCAAAGGAAACAATTGGATCGCCATTGTGGCAGATATTGGGGGAACAGAATGATGACAATCAACGCTTGGAAACGGTGCTGCTGGGAGGACTACCCGTGTGCGCAGTCAGGCCAACGTGGAATGAATCAAGCCGAGCATGGTGTGATTGCTGACGATGATAGAGAGTGAAAGAGTGAAGTCCCTTTGAAGGTGTTTCAGTGTTTTCGTACTTTCCTTTGGACTTTGAAAGTGCGTGCTTAAAAGTGTGCGTGGCAGGCGCCAATGCCGTTCTTGATCTGTGTGGCAATGGAGCATTTCGAGGAGCGTCAATGATGCTTTCATAATACTGATGTTGAAGCTGAACTGTGAAAAGAAGACAATGGCAACAGCTACGGCAACCATGTAGAAGGTGATCCTGTCCAATGGCGAATGCAGTAATCGGACTGAGTAACTGTTACTGATTATTCTGACCAGTATCAGTTGCCACAAGCCACAAGAGTTTCTAATCAGAATGCCGAGAGCACCAGAACACCAGAACAACAAATATAATACATGCTTGGTACTCCGAGCAGGAAACAATTTCTGGTGTACCAGTAGAGTCGAGTCGTTATGATCCAATGTTATGGTTTCGGGTTGCCAGGTGCATCTGGACAATCTTAGCCAGTCTGTGAGGTTCACTGCTCACTGCTCACAGAAAGCAAGGATTGGAAAAGTCTGAAGCATTTATTTCTCACCTTGAACGTTGCTTCACTTTCGGGAAATAAATATAAGCTTGCTGCATTATTGACTTAGTTGGAGCGACAACAATACCAAGAGCCAAGAGAAGAAGAGAAGAGAGAGCAGTCAATAATAATTGTCAATTGATTTATTTACGGTTTAAGCTTCTTGTGCTCGTGTTGCTTCCCTGCAGACTCGACACAAGTCCATGGCCCATGTCAAGACGTTCGTGCGGCTCCTGATGCACGTGGTTACTTCTGGTGGGAAGTGGGAAGTGTGCTCAGCCAATCTTGCTACTGAGTAACTCCTACCAGGAGCCCTGTTCTCTGGCCTGTGTGACTGTGTGAAGCAAGCTTTCTTGGTTGAATGGTGCTCTTTTGAATCAATCGGAGATCGGAGATCAGAAACCAGTTTCCTGGCCACCGAAAACGGTGCGAATGAATCGAATCAATATTATTGATTTAGAGTGCACTGCACTTTTGCGCACAAACCAATAATAAGCACCAGATCCACTTGTCCTTCACCAAATAATCAAATAATCTCTATTTCATTTTGAGACTGCAAAAGAGGGAAAGGAAGGCTCTGCGACACAGGACCTCTGTGGAAACTCAAGTCGTGCTACTTTTCGTCTCCTAAATCCTTTTGATCGTCTCCTATTTAATGGATTTCGTCTCCTAAAAATAGGAGACGAAACGGATCGTCTCCTAAATCTTTTGTCTCCTCTTAAAACGTCTCCTATTTTCAACGGATCGTTTCATATTCTCAACGGATCGTCTCTTAAGTGTACCATGTAAACTGTATGGTATCGTCTCCTAAATCTTTCGGATCGTCTCCTATTTCGAAATTTTCGTCTCCTAATTGTAATGTCTCCTACTGAATCGTCTCTTAAATATAGGAGACGATTGCTTTCGTCTCTTAAATCATTTCGATCGTCTCCTATTCCTCGGTGTATCGTCTCTTAAGTATTTTGCCACGAATGACGTTTCCACAGAGGTCCAGAAGCTGAAGCGTGCCGGTAGTCTTCGTTTACAGTTCCATTGTATTTTAAAAGCTCCCCGAGAGGAGCTCTCGCAACCGATGGGTGTGGGTTGTGGGATTGAACGATTGAACCCAATGGATTCATAGTTTTCGTTGCTCTTACATACATGTATGTACTAGACTAGAGTACTTACGCTTGCTGGCTAGCCAGCGAGCAAGCGTATTATTTCATTCATTGAGCTTCCAGGAAGGTTGCAACACCTACTACACTAGCTAGCTAGCTACTGCAGTAGCTTGTTTTAGAATTGCAAAACTTCAGTTGCCGGCCAGCAAAAGGCAAGCCAAGAAATATATGGATACAGCTATGGATAAAATAGCTACAACAAGTATTTATTAGGTTACCTCTTGTCGCTCCTCTCGTGATCAGCCATGTCAGATAGCCAAATCAAGTAAGTCAGTTCCAGGTTCCAGAGCTTTTTTGCAGGGCGGACGCGGATGACCTCGGCGAACCAGTCGGCTGCAGGAGGTCGAAAGCACTCTAGGAAGAAGGCATCATGCTATGATGATGTAGCCTCCGGGTGTGCTGCCTCGGCGGTGAGTGGAGGCGAAATATTTGGTTAGAATACAGTAACTAGCTAACTGGAAGTATGGCTGGATGTATATAGACAAGGATTTTAGTGAATTTAGAGTGCTCATGAATGTCTGCGTGTATAATATAGTCCAGTTGGTTGAGTTGCTGCAGCACATTGTCTCTCTTTAGTAAAAACGATCTGTAAATGAAAACGCAAGATGAGATGATGATGAAGTTCCCTTTCCCTTGACCCTCTAATAGGTCATTCTGCAGTCCACCGCTGTAGTAATCCACCTGAACTCTACTAGCTCGTGCATTGCCTTTCTTTGGTAGTTTCTTGTGGTCTAATAATGATGGCATCGGGTGCTGCAGCGTCAGGGCACCACACTTCTAGGCTCCAGCTGCTACATAGCAAGGACTGAGAGCCGACAGAACAATGTGGTTGACGGACATCTCCGTGACTTGTTGGCGCTGTTCGTTTGAAAGCGACCTGTCATTGGCAATGACTTTTCCAATCGCCCTTAGCAGGAGCCCTTGAATCAACTCTGTCTGATCGCAGAGGTGAAGGTCCGGTGGGAGCAGCGACTGGGTGCTGCTTGCCACTTTGGGCCTCTTGGCCGCGGGGCAGTCTGTGGATCTTCTTGTGCTCCAGCTTGGTGTGGTCGGTGCTGGGTGGCCCCAACTCCCAACTGTTCCGCAGCAGGTATGCATGTTCAGGTACACATGAGCGAGATTGTTCACCGCAGAGAGCATCAAGAGATTCATGGTGGCAGATGTGGCCGGGATCACCCAAAGATTCTGGAGGCATAGCTTGTAGAACAGTATAGCTTCTTCTCGATACCTCTTGTTGTTTTCTTGCGTTTCGTGAATGAGCTTGTGAAGGACCAAAGCCATGTTGAAATGGATGATGGACCAGAAGAAGGAAACTTGAATGTACCAGATCCGGATATCACGGAAGGATGCTTGGGGTAGAACGGGATTCAAGCCAAAGATAAAGGCGGTTTCATCATCATCGTCCTCGTGTGGATCATCCAACGATAACGGAGCTGAGAATAAGAGCGCCTGGTTGTAAATGTAGAAACGGTCATCTTGGAGTACCTTGATTTCCTTGGATGTCGGTCTGACCAAGATATCATCTCTTCGCGTGCTGCTGCTTCTTGGGGTACCTTGAGCATCCTTCAAGCGAGGGTCCAGAGATTGCGTAGCGTGGTCATACTGATCGCAGTGTATCAGGAGAAGCTTGTTGATAATGACAAGGGCGCTGTTCAGGTGATGAATGGCAAGCTCGCTCTTTCCTGAAGCAAAAGCTTCTACACCGGCTGCATTCATCTTTGATGCTTCCGCTATCAGCAACCAAGAATGGCAATCCATCTTGCTTGCTACGATATGGTACCTGAAAAGTTTTGGGTATCCTGGGCTTGGGACGTTCGTAGTAAGAGACTCTAAGAGTGCTCGGGGTTTCAAAATTGTGATTCAGTAATATGTGCCCTCTGGCTGTGAGCATTGGATGGAGGCGGGCTGGAAGGTCTACCGTATGCCCAAATCTGCTCCGGCTTGTAAAAGACCCTCAATACCGGTAGTCAATGCTCTCGAGAGAGGGAGGAAGATGTGCTGCGACTGTGATGACTGCTGATCGTAACGAGAGTTCAAACTTGCTAAAAGCAGATGTTTGATATTTTTTTGTGCTTCGAAGTGTGGATGGAGGCTGCAGTTTTCGGTGGCGACATCATGATGTGAGTCATTCGATTCATTATTCTTTGGCTTCGATTCCTCTATCACTGAAAGCTGCTTGCAATCTGGCCTGGTTGAATGGATTGAATGCTGATTGAAGATACATTTTCGCTGGTATTAACCAGCTGAAGAGAGCAGCTGCAATCAACGAGCTTACAACAGCTAAAGCTCTATGCCTAAGTCACAGATTTCTTTTTTGCCGAAAGGAATACTAGCTGTCATTAGTAAGTTGCCGAAGCGGTTGATCTATTGGGAGGCTTAAGTAAAGATGCCTGCTCGTGGAAGCAGTGAAGACCTAACTCATTAAGGAGCAAGTTTCTGATGTGGTCCCTTCCCGAACATTCCTGGAATTCGTATGTAAAGTTGGAAACTCAGTTTCAAGATCACCTGGCCACCAAGGGTCATCCGCTTCGCTTTCATCCCTTCCGGTTGGTCTAATGTATCTCCCGTTGCTCTCAGCCCTCTCTCAACATTCTGCTCGTGCCGTACATAATAATATATGTAATAGCTACTCTAGCTAGTATGTAAGAGCTATGTAATTCAAAACCGAAAGAAAGTGGCGCCTGAGCTCTGCGGTCCGAAGGGCACTTCTTTTTCTTTTTCTTTCAATGTGTTCGGATAATTCGAGGCAGGTTGCTTGACAGACAGATACCGGTAGCACTGGCTGCTGCGGCAGAATGGCTGATTCTATCTCCGCCAGCTCTCCACCCAAGCAAGCAAAACTGATCAGAATAGGCAAAGACTACTAGCTGGCTGACTAATTGGCTAGCTAGAGGCTAGGTACCACTGGTAGCTTACCTGACATGTTCTCAGCAATCAATTTGGACTGTTGCTACTGGCTAGCTAATATCCGCCCAAGCGAGTTATCATACTACTTCAAGAACAGACTAACTCCAGAGCTCTCCAAAGTACTCGTGCCGGGTAGATAAAAGCTTGGCAAGCTATTCAAGGCCGTTTCGGTTGGTGCGTGGCGTGGGCTTGACGCATCAGCCAGAATCCGTACATGTAGGTTCACTGTAGGATGGTCACCAGTGCAAGCATGAACTTATTCCTTGAATTGATGAAGGCAAACGGTGGTTTCTAAAACTGCTTCCTTGGAGACGGAAGTATCAAAGAATTGTAGAGATTGTTTACAGTTAATTGGACTCGTTCTGTACCAATGTTTACTTCAATAATTCAAGTGTTGAAGTTTTAAAGAAAAACAGAAGGGTCTTTCTGTCCTTTCTGAAAACGGTTTGAACCATCCGAATTCGATCAATTCGGTGCCTGTTCTTTTGCTGCCCTTCCTGATTCCTGAGGTGTCAACATTGAGTTTTGATACAGTGCTCAGGAAGCAGCTCAGAGAGCATGTAGACTAAAAGGAACGAGTTTGCAAGAAAATGGGATGCGGAAACTAGATACATGTAGCATGTAGCTTGCTGGCTAGCCAGCTCAAAGTAGTAGCTAGAGCTACCGTACCAGGGAGCCAGCGAGAGCTAGCTAGCATTCCTCTGGGAAAACCAGAGAGGGCAGTCATCACGATCAAGGCTACCGCTCTTCGCTCCCCTATCATGCTGGGGCCATGGGCTAGCTAGAGTGCTCTGAAAAGCGTGGAATGTTTCTGATGTTTTACATTCGTAGCTTCATGCTTCCTGGCTACCTGTATTCAGGTGGCGACGCACTGCCGTTGTTTCTCTGCACGCTCAGGAATTAGAAATAAATGCTCCACTAGTCTAATAACGACTAACTGTGTTGAAAGCACCAGAGCCGCTTCGCGATGTTGAGCGAACTGGCAAACACTGGATGGGCCTGGGCTGTACTCCTCGAGCTGCCACTTGTCGCCTCGATCGAGATCAAGATCGAGATGTCCATGACATTGCCAGAAACCGGCCACCGTCCTCCAACGATTACAACGATGCCATCGTTTGTTGTACTCGGAGTAATCCCTTGATTGTTGTCCACACAATGGAATCTTCGTTTGCCCCCAAAAGAAGAAGGAATTTTTTGGTTCGTGGTTCGTGGGAACAGCCACTTCAATGGCTGGACCTGGGCGACTCGGGGATTCAAAGCGCTCTCTTCCTCCCATCGCGGAAGTCTAAAAAAGAATTGCTTGAAGCTGCACAGCACGATTGCAGCGTTGTAAAGCACTCCAATAGGAAGCGTGATCATGATGCTTGCTTGCTGCGTTCCCCTTGCCTCTTCTTTTCCAAAACCATCACTTCAAGTCAGCCTCCAGATGGTTTACTGGTTGCGTTACTTGTAATAATGGTGACAGTGCACGGAGATTAGAGATTACAGTAGAGGACTAGCTAGATCATGTCGCTCCCCTCCAGTCCTTTGTTGCTTTGAATCCAGTCCTCGAGGCTTGCTGATGCTGGCCAAAGGTAGTACCGGCAATGAAGAAGCTACCCACACTGCCGTGGCTGCTGGACCGGCAAAGCAGATGATTTAGTGGGCTGGGGTATTCAGCCACCAGTCATCTCCGAAGGCTCACGGCTCAGGCATCATGCATACAAGAAACGCCACTCCCGTCTTCGAGTTTGACAATTTAGCTACACTGTTTGGCAGCTGTAGAGCCCAAAAGGAAATGGATCCGCTGCCCCTTCTTTAGAAGTCCAGTGCGTGGGTCAGTGGCCGCTGCAGACAATCGCAGTCGCAATCTTGTCTAACTAGCTCAATAGGTATCTATCTAGCTAGGTAAGTCGAGTAGCCGTTTGGATCATGTAGCCAAAAGACGCTGAGAGAGGACGAAGTCATCAGAAATGGATCTTCTGAACGCCGAGAGTTGACCACACAGAGCTCAGGCCACCCAGAAGACTTCTTTGATCGGGTAGCTGTGGTAAATGTAACGTCAAAGTATCTTTCACTTAAAATTATTATATAGATTGGTTGAAGACTCTGTTTCCCCCAGTTACCCAGCTTCGAGGTGTCTTCGATAGAATTGAGTTGGGGTTTCAATGCTGCACTTCTCGATCCATCCGACTTCCATCACGCCTCCTGCAAGTCTCTCCCTCACGAGGTTATCATCATGAACCAAGACAACAACAACACCGACTCCCCGGGAGACAATGGCCGCGAGTGTCGCTTTGTAGTAACAGGGTTTGGTCCCTTTCAGGGAGTGCCAAAGAATCCGACGTCGTTTATCGTGGAAACCTTGTTGGACTTTTTGACTCAGAATGGCGACCCAGAACTTGAGACTCTTGCCTCCAACACTACGGCAACCGTCTTGGAAGTATCTGCGGTGGCAGTACAACAGTTTTTGGACGGTTTGTCGGAAAAGGATTTGCCTTCCGAGTCAATAACTACGATTCTACTGCATTTGGGCGTCAATTACTGCGGGAAAGCTTTTCAGTTGGAAGAATGCGCCTACAATGATGCCTCGTTCCGGGTTCCGGATGAACGCGGATATCAGCCTCAGAAGCAGTGTATCTCCAAAGATCTGCCCTGGAATCATGCATTATCGACCCCGTTGGATATATCCACCGTTTGTTCGAGGCTATGGAAGTTATATCCTGGGTCAGAAGAGCGACAACTACTTCCACTGGCTAAGGATAAGCATCCCACCGACATTTGTATCATTCCAAGTTCTGACCCTGGCCGCTTTGTGTGTAACTACACGTATTGCTACAGCCTGGACAAGTTTTGTCGCCCACAACAACAACAACCCCCCACAGATCCAAAAGAAGACGTGAAAAAAGAACATTCCGTACCACCCAACAAGTTTGCATCGCTCTTTCTCCATGTACCACCCGTGACGGTAGTCCCACAAGAGGAACAATTAAAGTTTGTGGTGAATCTCATGAAAGTGATTCGGCAAGAGATGATGGCCAGGGGCTAGTAGCTAGACGGGGTGACAGGAGCACATCTGCAACAGAGGAATAGCCGGGGGACATATTTATTCTAAAAACGTGCTGCATTATTATGATCATAGACGAAAAAGAAAGATGGTAGTGATTAGAATGAAGCTGTTCAACTGTTGCCTTTGAAGGCCAGTAGGTACTAGTAGTCTCTAAGTTCCTGTGGCGGGCTGCTCAATCATCTCCATATATATAGGCTGCCGCTGCTTGAGCTCCACCTCCACCACCTCGTTTCCTCCTCTACCATCACCACCTGTATTACCCATTTGATGGCTTCTTCATCGCTTCGCGCAATCGATTAGCTGCCATCTTGCCTCAGATTGTTTTGGATCAAGGAGTGTAGCATTGGCTTTCCGTTCTTGGGGGGCACCGCCCAATCCCCACTTTTACCCCCTTTTTATATCGCTGGGAATAGCGCGAACCCTTTCTTCAAGTGGTCCCAAAGATCCAAGATCCAGCAACACAGCAACAACCACATCATTTTCGTCATTCCGAGTGGACTTTTGTTGCCCCTGTTGTTGTTACCCTTGTTGTTGTCTTCTTTCTTGCTACTGTACGAACCATGTCTCTGTTGGATCCAACCTTTTTTCCTCGCTACGACGATCTAGCTAAAGAGCTGCGTTTGTTAGACGGAGTCGAGACATTATTAAAAGACGCCCAAACGGAATTGGAAAAGGAACGCGCCGCATTGGCGCAATCGGAATCGGAATTGGCTTCGTTGAATCAATTTGCCGAGGAACAACGAGAGCGGATTCAGTTGGTGCGCACGCATTGTTTCTATGGTAGTACGGCCTTGCAACCGCAATTGTGGCTCCGCGGTGGCACCCGTGGAAAAATTCGACGCGCTCAAGCCAAATTGGAAACGTGTGAACAAGAACGACGACCACTCATTGCACTGATTCAACAATTGCATGATGAGATTCTTCCACCACTGCTGTCTCGTGTGGAACGATTGCAAGCGGAGCAAAGTGACAAGCAGTTTTTGGAGGACTGTCAGTCGCAGATGCGAGATTTGGCCGTCGAATTACATCCCTCGCGGACCTACCAACAATTGACACAGAAAATTGAATCGCAAGAACAAAAAGTACAAGAGACGCAACACGCCGTAGAGGCAGTCCACAGGTTGGTGGAACAGTGTGCCAAAGCAAAGTTATTCTATCACAGAGCCGAAAATAGACTCCAAGAAGCAAAAAAACTCAATCGATCGGGGACGTTGGGGGATTGTGATTCCACACCAACGATGGAAGACTCATCACCCACCAATGATCATGGACGACAATCGAGGACGTTAGAGGAGGATACGGAGGATACAAATATCGAGACTGAATATGCGACAACAACAACGACAACCCCCGAAGAATTGCCACCCAATCGACGACGTCGAAGCAGTCGACAATCTTCGCAAACAGAGCGTCATGACAATACCACTAGAAATCGACAAGAGGATCATGCTCGTGTCGAAGCTCGCCGCGAACGACTCAAACAACAAGCCCGGGATGAATTCCAAAACGGTGTCGATACGTTGAAACGAAGTCTGGCCAATGCCAATTGTTTGCCACCACCCGTCAAGGCACAGTATCCAGCCCTCTGTCATCCTCTGGAACGGGCGGCGCGACAAGACTTTCGCACCGTCAAGAATCATGTCGGGCTGGAACAAACCGGAACAGAAATTTTGGAACATGGGCAAGCGTTGCATTCTCAATTGCACGCAGATCAGGAAGCGGCGGGAGTGGCCTTGCGACTGGCGCAAGCTGCCAAGGAAGATGAAAAGGATCGGATTGTACAGGAATTGAGATTATTGGTATCATCACAGCAATCAGTAGTCAGTCCTCCTCGCGCCGTCACTGTGATTGCCTCGGGAACTGCTGGTGAAGTGGGCGTTCCTGTCGTGGTGGCACGTCCCGTGGCAGACACGAGAACAATCGCTGCCTCGGACACGGAGGTTTCTGCAACTGACGATACCGTGACGATCGAAACAGAGTACGTGCGGGATTCACCCAAGACGGCTGCAGCGACAGTGCCTCACCCAGAGCCATCGGCACCCGTTGAAAAATAGAAATACTGTGACTACAGTACAGTCAGTACAGTACACTGCTGGCTTGTAACGTTTACAACGAAAAAGCACAAGCGTAAGGATTAGAAAGAATTTAGAAACCTAAATTGGTTTGGTTCTAGCTAGTTACGAATTGTGAGAAACAAAAGTGGGTCCAGACAGAAGACTTCTCTTGCAGAAGTTGTAAGCTAGGATTGACAAATCTCCGGCACGAAAGGATCCTTGAAAAATGGTGCGTGCCAATGGCTTTGTTGTTGAAAGATTCAATCAACCAATCAACCTTGCTATCCCGCCACACGAGGCACTCGTGGAAATGGCTCGGTGTCATTGTTGGTGTGTTGCAATCTCCATTCCCTCATTAACCGACCAAAAGGACAATTCACGGGCCGTACCGGCGTACCCACGTTGACTTTGACAGTGGAAGAACCATGTGAAGTGTCGATGATGGGCGGTTCCTTTCCATCGACAAAGTTTTGTGGAAAGTTTTGTGTGGTCCTGTCGTATCCAAACCGTGCTAGCAGATTATTGTTATTGTTCTCATTCGACCCAGCAGCAATCTGATGCAATTCCTGGAGGAGTTCTGGTGAATATCGCCCCTTGTGCAGAGACTTGCCGATACTTTGAACTCCCTTTGTGGCACTTCTTGGTTGATAGGATCCCAACGACGACATAGTTGTTGTGGTGGTGGTAGCATGCCTTATGCGTTGCTGCCAAAACGAATGATCATCCAAAGATCCCTTGTCATTGCCCGCCGCAACAAACTCCAAAATGCGTGTCAATTCTCGCGCTGGTTGTTGAATCAAATCTTCAAATCGAATCCATAAGATGGAAAAGTCATCTAGTTCCATGCGATCGATCCAATACTGATGATACCGACACCAAATTTGCAGTTCATTGCGGGCCATGTCTCTAAACTTGTCAGCGAATCGTTGGTAGATTTCATCCGTCACCGTTTCCGTATGGGTATTGGTGACATTCAAATTCCAATACGAGTCCATGGCATCAAACGGATTGCGAATCAGCATGACAGCCCGATGTCCCGTCACGATTTTCCATCCCGTCCGTTCGGGCCAATGCGTCTTGACAAAACACGTTTTTGTGCGGTGTGTGACGCCTTCGCCCACCAAATTGTGGGCTTCTGCCAGAGCTTTGGAAAGAGTGCGATCTGGTCGCGTGTCGGAGCCCGTGACAATGCCGGTAGTCCGTTCCAGTAAGGTTCGTAAGAGTGTATTGCCACTGCGGGGATACGACAAGAGTAATGTCACACCACGGTTCTGCTGGAGAATGGACCATGGGGAATTGTTGTTGGGAGGTTGTGTTGGTATTTGATCCAAAAATCGCAGCAGTTCCAGAGGTGGCGGAAACGGAAACTCCGGCAAATTGTTGTCAGTTTTGTCTTGCTGTGGCTGCTTTGACTTGCAGCTGTTGTACATTTCTTCCCATTCCCAATTGGCTCTCTGAACCGTAGATAATCCATTGCTAGTATCAGTACTCATAGTAGTGGCCCCATTTTTACTGCTGTTACTATCTCTTGACAATGTTCGCCGTTTCAATCGTCTCGTGTTGAGTCTCTGGAGCAACACTACAGGATCTTGTACGGGTGACACTTGAAATCGATAGCGTTCTTGGCGCTCGGCATTCCCAGCGCGGCGCCGTTGAAACATGGGCAAGATTTGCTTCGCATACTTCTTCTTGGTGAGCAGCAACCTGGTCCCATCCACCTCTCCCAGATACGTCAAGACTATAGTCAGTGGGTAAAAGTCCAGCGTGTCCATCGTCCAGGCTAGAATGCCGTCTTTTCTTGTGGTGTTGTTGTGGTTGCAGCCAACAGGATCAAGAGTGTACAGACTGGCTCTCAGGTGTCAAAATAGTTCAAAATGGTCCGAAGTCATCATTTTTTAAACCTACGAATCTGATTTTCCGAAAAAGTAATGTGTTCCTCCAATCAGAAGAAGCAAGAAAAGATCCATGAAATATTGAATTGAACCACAGCAGCAGTATTGACCAAACAAACTACATGTACCTCTAGCTAGCTAGTACCTGGTACTGCACGTCAACTTGCTATGCATACTGGAATAGTAGCCAGACGCTAGTTGTTAGGATTTTGGATCATTGCCACCATGATCTCCTGGGTCACCATTGTCATTACAATGTGGATTGGCTTCCACCAAAGTAACCTGGGTTGCCGGAGCCTACAAGATCTTCTACCTTGTTGAGACTCGCTCCTTGCATGCATGCTTTCAATCCGTGGGAGACATTTCATGCGTGTTGGAGCAGATGGGATGGCTCCACCTGTGGTTTCTGACATTGGTTGCATAGAGGATTGGCATTGGAGTTGTGCCTCTTTGACTGGTACAAAGGCTGGCTGACTAGAGGGATGGCTGAATCCACTGGTGTTTGGGACGAAATGGGTCCACCTAGATGGATGGTGGAAGACACAGGTGGAATGGGATGATGGAATGTGGTGGGTTGTTGTTGGTTGTGTGTGTGCCTGGCTAGGCTAGCTTTACCAATACAGACCCATTGCTAGCTAGCAGGAGTAAATCCCGAACACACTCACAGACTCACCCCTTAAAAAGAGTTGTGTCGAGCCTGGAGTGCGGGCTGGATTAGAACCAGGAGATGCGCCATGGGCGGGGCTCAGTGTGGGTCCTTGTGATGCATCTATAATAAGTATCTACTGGGGGCATCCTTAGCGGATCCCACCACCAAATCATTCGCCGTTGGGATGGTCGAGAACATCGCACGAGGACGTTTGGAATGTGATTTCCCCAGACAAAATCTTTCCTAGATGGTTTTACTCGTTTTTGTTTGTTTTGAGTAAGCTGCAGCAAAACTTGCCCCAAGTTTAGTTGCCAAATCCCAGGCCATTTCCCAACTCGTTCGTCAGTGTCTCGGTAATCAATGGAAGGATGCTGTCATTCAAGTTGGACAAAAAGACTTGCTCCAATGTGCCGTCAATGTCAAATTCAACATTACCGCCAAAGGCACCAATGTTCAGGGATATTGAGTCATAGCTGATGCTCACCTCCTGAAACTCAATAGATTCCGCAAGGGAGGATCCGAGCAGAGCGAGGTTTGGACTGTCTCCCGCAATTCGGATGCGGAAATTCATTGCAGGATTCGCCATGGCAATGGACCCTGACACCGACTCGTCAAAACCGAACAAGCATGCATCACCGCTGATGGTTGCAGATGCTCCTGACACCAGCCTATCAAACGATGCTCTTACTACCCACGTTCCGTCCCAGGTGGCTCCACCTAGTCCTCCCCAGTTTAGTTCAAAGCGCTCTGTGCCGGGAACAAGTTCGAACGTCTCAATCTCGAAGGTTGGAAGACCTTGGAGTTGTCCAACAGAATAGGAAAGAGAGCCGCCAGCTTGGCAAAAACCAAAGTCGATTTGACCTAAATCCGTAGTTTGCTGTATATCGGAAAGCGGAACGTTGCCGAGTGCTATTTGAATGGAACCATTCAGAATTGGCATGAAGAAGTCAATGACAGCATTGATGGTGGTAGCCACCAAGGAAAGGCTCCTCCTCCTCCTTGTTTGCGGCTGTGACTGCTCATGATTGTGCTTACGAAGATTGGAAGCTCCTTCTACGTAGGAGCAAACTAGAAGAGCGGAAAGGAGTGCGATCTTGGCAGCGTGGATCTTCATAGTGAGTATATAGGTATGTGTTCCTGGACCGGTGGTTGGTTTGAATAGTAGTGTTTGAAAAAGGACCTTCTGTCTTGCTTTTATTAGGCGAGATAAGATTCTGAATTATGAGCCCACTTCTTCCAAAACAAGCCTTTACTTTTTCAGAAAGACCAGGATTTTCTAGCTAGCTAGCTAGCTAGCTAGCTCATGTTCATGGTATACTTAGCATTTACATTGCCTTGAAAGGCAGCTCAGTGGCCTTCATGACGGGTCGAGCCGCTTTGATCATGACTTCGGCCCCACAACCGCATGCGTTCCAGTGACTCCTGCGCCAACCACGAATGACATCTGATGCTGTGTTCCCAAGCCCAAAACTGCAGGGTCCTGTATGGCAACCGGGTAAAATGGCAACAAGCCAATGTCGTTGCGTGTACAAACAACACCCAGCCAAGAGAATGACTAGCTAGAATTGTAGTTGCAGGACAGCCTCGGATGCTGGCTACGGGGAAGACTTACTAGCCACTAGTACTAGCTAGCTAGTAGAGAAGCTGGAGTCTTTGGATTTATATCATAGACCAGGGAGACCAAGTTGGTTGGTCAATTCTATTCGCACACTTAGCCAATTATATTCACACACAACCATAATAGATTGCTAGCTAGGAACAATTAGCTGCTGCTAGCTAGCCAGAGAGAGGCGATGAGCTGAAAGGCACCCTCCATCTGGGATTGATTCAACAACACACCTGGGCTATCCTAAGTAATTTCACCTGGGGTGCGACGTTAATTAAATTGACCTTTAAATAAATTTTTGTCCTAATCAAACAAGTTCCCCCGCGCACCTCTAACGTCCCTCTCTAATTACAGAAATTCGGCGACCATGTTCAACACAAATTTCAGTCGATACTCAGCGTAAGTAGGAGCCAACATCAATTCAACGTCGTCACCTACAAAAGCGGCTTGTTGCTATTCACGAGAGACTCAGTCATGAGTCGAACTCAAACCCTATCTAGGATCGAGTCGCGAATAAGGCTAAGAGCCGTGTATTGCATTGGCAAACTTAGTACGATTGAATCGATTCCGAGTACGATTTTTGGATTGATGTGCATCAGTTCAAGTGGATGTGCATCAGATACAATCTGCGTTGGATTGAGTTCCGGGAAAATATAGAATAAACCGTATCTTTCAGCAAAAACGACGATTGTTCAAAACAAGAAACAATTACTATGATATATCTTTGCGCGAAAGTTTAAACAACAATCGTTTTTGCTAGCTATCAGGGTTGTTAGCTAACGGAAGATAAAGAGAGCATCAACTCCCAGGGGATCAATCCGAATCGTATGCAAGAAAGAAATCGACCTGATTTCAGTTCAGTTCAGTTCAGTTGTCGGCTCAGTTCAGTTCATAAAATCTCAATCTCGAAAACCAAAACACAAGCCAAATCTATGCCATTTTCAATTGAACCAACCTCCATTGTTGCCGCCATTCCATCCACTATTGTTGCCGTTCCAACCTCCACCATGACCATTCTGCCCGTTGTTTTGCTGGTTGTGACGGCCGTTCCCAGGTAGGTTTGGCATGATGGCAATCGAGGAAGTGTTTGATGAAACTGTTCCGTTGGAGCATAATGGGGACAGGAATCGTTGATTGTTTTGAGGAATGCTGATTTGATTCATCGGTGGTGTCATTGTGCGTCGGACATTGTTTTGATTCATTCCATTACTCATCATGCTGCCGTTCATTCCCATTCCCATCATAGCGGCGAAGCCGGTCATCATTGCCATGGGATTCATCTGTTGTTGCATTTGCATCTGCATCTGCATTTGGGCTTGCATTTGCATCTGCATCATCATCTGCTGTTGTTGCTGCTGTTGCTGTTGCAAGATGCGATTCTGTTCTTCCAACCGACGATTCTCCTTCTCTTGTCGAAGACGTTGAAGTTCGGCATAGTCGCTGTTCGATAGCGTGGAATGATTCAAGTTGACAATGGCAAGTGGAGTTCTTCCGGTGCCACCTACCACGGCAGGTTTCTTTCGATCACCGTTGTCATCTTCCTTTCACTGGTACACTTCGCAATCCAAAGCATCGGCCACAGTCTGTTTACGAGCAGCGGTCATTACTGCATACGTACCTTGCGACCGGATGGACTTGTGTCGAACACCATGTGCGATTGTATGGGGATTGACACTGGCCCCCATCATGAGTGTGATTTTGAGAGCACGGAACGCCTGACCGGTAGCTTTCATCCAATCTTCAACTCCAACGATCTTTGCAAACTTCTTGCAGAAGTCACGATGACGATTGTGTCCGACATTGCCCTTTGGCATTGGATTTTTCTCTCCGGGACAAGAGCGATAGAACCAGACATCATACTCCTTGATCACACGTTGGGGTTTGTCCGGATTGTCCAAGTTCCACTGAATATCGGCCTCTTTGAGTGACTCATTCATTTCCTTGCGATGCTTCTCTTTGAGAATGGGATAATTGTAAAAGTTGACCGAGTCGGGATGTTGCTTCGACACGTAATCGGTTCGCCATAACCATGGATCAAAGGGACAATGGCGGTATGATTGGAATGTGATGACTCGCTCTTCATTGGGAGTGATTCGCGTGTTGCCGAAGTTGAGCTGATTCGTCTTGTCTTCCGGAACAAAGATGCCACAAAAAGGGGTACCAGCAAGACCTTTTTGTGTGCTGTCATGGACTCCCTCACGATGATGTTCCAACAGACAGTTGTGGTGTTCAGTTTCTCCCCGAAAACCAACCCATTTACCGCTGATGAAGTACTGTGCAAGGAACTTGTGATACGCATTATTGAAGTCCAACCTCCCATCGAGAACTGCCTGACACACAAGTTCAAAAAGATTGGTGGTAACCCGCTTCTGATTTGGTTGTGTTCCATACTTGGGGTCTTTCTTGCGACGATCACTCCATGCATCGATGACGATTCCGTGGAACTCTCCTGGACCGTTGAAGTCCTTGTTGTACTTGTACAAGATTCCTTTCTTGTGCCAGATACTGAAAAGACTCTCTACAACATTCTTCTCTACCGAAGGCTGAAGGGGACCTCCAACGTTCTTTCCTGACTTGCACCGAATTGTCTGATGGAAGGTGATCAAGAAGATGTTGAGAAGCTTTTGTTTGGTGCGTGTCTTTTCACCAGCAAATGCATTGAAGAATGCATAGTCAAGTTGGTCAGGAGACTTGTCAAAGTCATTGTATGCGACTGGAACCACTTCCAGCAGAGGCGCAAAGAGTTCTCCTCCATACTCTCTCATTGCTTCAAAGAATCTGTGTTCCGCGGCGTCCTTTCGCTTGACAGTCTTTGCCTGGATCAATCCGCGTTTGGTGCCTTTGATTTTCTTGGCTACTTTTGGATTGAAATTGGTGTATGCTCCTACCTCATTCAGAACTCCATTGACTTTGACAAGAAGATCTTCCTGTGTGGATCGAAGTTCACTGTTGACTTGCAGTTGAGACAGAAAGGGACTTGCCTTTGGTGGTGCCTTTCTCTGAACCTGAGTCGGAAGCGGCCGCACCTGTGACTTGTTGGGCTTCTTGTAGGGATTGGTACTCACGGCACGAGGAATTTGTGTGGGTTGCTGAGTCGCCGGTGGTTGGTTTTCTTTGCCAAAGTGGCCAATGTCTTCTCCGGTTTCCCCGAAAGCACGATTTTGTACTTCCAAGTCTCTATCAAACGCCAGTTGAGCAAGTCGGGGGTCCTTTTGAGCTTTGTCTTGTTTGTTGGATCTCTTCTTTTGGGCTTCTTCTCTTCGACGTTTGGCTCTGTCTTCTTTTGGATCAGCGACTGAGGATCCATCGAACTCAGCTTCTTCTCTGTTCTCAACAGCATTCCAATCTTCCACTCCATTCTCAAACTTCACTTGCTGTACAAGACGCTGGGAGGGATGAAATGGCTGGCAAGCAGCTGTACCAAGCACTACAGCTTCTCCTTTCTCCACTTGCTCATTGATTGATTCGGCACGGGTCTTTCGTCTATCAGTATCATTGACTGGTGGTTGGACAGAGAATACAGCCCCATACATTTCAGGTGACTTCCTTTTGCGACTGGAGTTTGACTCTTCATCGGTGCTGTCGGGAAGAAGTTGGAGAGGCGTCGACTCAACCTGTACATCTTCTTCTTCATCGGATGACTGAGAAGACGCTTGGTAGTTGTATTGGAAGTCTTCCTTTGGCTTGGCAGTCGCTTCTGCTGTTTCTTCTTCTTCATCTTCTTCTTCCACTGCCTCGATGGGTCGCTGAGTCAACTCCAACTCTCCATTCTCGGTGTCCTCTGCGATGCCGGCCAATTGCGAACAAAGGGATTTACCTTTGGTCTTGATCTTAGCAGTGCCACGGGTCACAACCATGGTGTCAACAATCAACCACCACCACCACCAAGGCGATGAGCGACAAGAGCAATGAGGCAAGGAGTTCGATACACTCACTGGTTACTATCGCAATGTCCTCTTTTGTCGACTGTAAATGGTGCACCAGATATTGAGGATGTGCAATGAGAAAAAGCACGGTGTAAGGAGTTGAGAAGTAGTCGTGTGAAATGATTTGAATTACTTAACGAATCATGTTACTTAACGGACACCGCTCTAATTGGCAAAAATCACCTGCTTAAATAAAAATAAACACCTGTAATATTATTAAATCACCGCCTTAATTACTGTCGGCACCGCCCATCGGTGTATTGCCTCTAATACACACCACCTCACTTAAGGGACCTGCCCCCACGGTTTAACCATCACACCATCACTTCGCTCCGGTTAAACCTGGGGCCAACGGTCCCATAAGTGAGGGGGTGTGTTTTTAGAAACAACCCTGCCTGTCCTGTCGTCCTCACCAAACAAGCTGGGGCCAAGATCCATGCATGCATGTGTTGGACGCTTGCCATTTCAGTCGAGTCAAGTCGAGTCTTCTGGCTACGAATTAGTTTCGTGGTGTACCGGTATTAGTAGAGGATAGAGTCGAGTGACAGTCAGTCGTCTGGCTAGATCGATCAATCCACATGAGCCTCAGTTTGGTGGAGCATTGTACCGTACGTTTGTGTTAGCTTGACTCCAAACAAACTGGCTATAGTATAGTAGTTGACGATGAAGAAGACCCCCAAGAAACCCACCGACAATGGCGATGCCGCTGGGCACGCCGAGTTTCGCCGTTGGGTGTACAGCCTGACTCGATCTCAACTGTTGAATGCCATGGAGTTTTCGGTATACGTGGATAGTAGTAGTGGCGTGAGCCATGAATACGAGTTGTTTTTGGAGATGATTACCCTCCAGCCACCGCCCTTTTGTCCCATTCATCCTCGAGCTGTCCCGTACCCAGTGGCCAGTGGCAAGGCCAAGACTGATGGTCGGAATACGGCCGTCAAAATGCTCAAGAGTCGGATCCAACAACCCCGAATATTCCAGTTTTTGGCCACGTCCAACAGTGCCAACAACAGCAACCATAACAACAATAACAATGGCAGGAGACGCAATGGGCAGCGAAAAAGGACGGCCCCTGTGGAGCAACGATTCGAAGTGATTGCCCGAAAATTCATTACCAGTTGGGGTGACGCCTTGAATATTGGCTGTACGCAAGAACAACGAATGGCGGATGAGCAAATCATGAGAGGGACACTGGTCGATCCCAAATTTGGAGCCACGGATCGCACTTTCCTCTCCTTTTTTGACAATCATCATCATCATCAGTCTGCTGGAGACTTGCTAAGACTGCTGCACGTCGTCTCCAGAGGACATTTTCTATCCCAACCGCATGATAATAATCATTCCACCACCACAACAATTCGCACTGTCCCGTCCTTTTGCGCTCCCTGGCTGGATCCAACCACCCGGTGGTTCTCCTTGCCCATGTACTTGGCGAGTCGATTCGAAGTGGCAGTCTGGGAATCGTTCACTCATTTAAAACGTATTCATCCATTGCCGCGTGGACGACCATGGGATCAATTGCAGGACAAACTCAACGACCAAGCCATTCAACAACTACTCTACAACGCGCTCGGTCAAACGCTAAAACAGGATATCATCATCCAACAACAATTAGAACCAACCAACAAACTACGAGATGGACTCTTGTTTGACCTACTGGATGCCATTGAGTTTTGGAGAGCCAGACTCATTCTATTTCAGTCATCATCATCATCATCATCCAACTCTACTGGATCCTTTTTACAGGCCATCTCGGCGACTCCTGTGCTAGAGATTGGAACGACAACTCACCAAATACGGACCATGGTGCGACAGCATTTACAGGAGGAAATATCCATGGAAATTGAACGGCATTTGATGGAATCATTATTGGATAGTACTAGTCCTGATAATAATGCCACAACATCAGCAACAACCACTTCGACGGCACAGAATAACAATGGGGCGGCGCGTCGACAAAAGAAAAAGAAGCAACGAAAAAAGGCGGCAGCGAGAAAACGACAACACGCGGTGACACCGCAACAACAGCAACATCAGGAGGACAACGACGACAACGATGATGATTCGGATGGAGCCGATCCAGCCAAACAAGTCCGTGCTCCAGAGAATGTACGGTTGGCATTTCCAGAAAACGGGACCCCGTTTGTAGAGCGAAACCGAAACATTGTGTTGTGCCTGTCTGTGCTCAATGATGCTATCAACGAAGCATTCCGGCAGGTGGGGCTAGAGGTATCCAGTGACGAAAGCGACTCGTCCGTCGTCCATGGCAACAAAGGACGACAACACAACACACCGCCCAAGGCAGCCATCACACCGAAAAGTAGGAACCAGGCAACTTCGCACAAAACACGAAAGGCGGCAAGTGCTCCGAAATCAGTTAGCACATTCCACGGCAACAACAATAATAGGCACCCTTCCAAGTCATCCCCTCAGTCAACGAAACTACCGCAAAATGGAGCCAAACAACTACCAAACAGGCAACACGCAGCAGGGGAACCGAAAACCCCGCCTCACGTGGAGAGTCAACTGTCACCGCATGCTCCACCGTACCAACACGATTTCGGTGATGCGCCATCAATGTCGCCTGCGCCGGGATCTGTGGACACTTTTCCATCGCAACATGGCTTCTCCCAAGGCATTTTTCTACGAACCGCGCCGTTCGAAGCCAACCCATGGGGATTCTATCACGGTGACGATGGATGGGACGCTGCCAGTGGATTCCAAGCTCGAGAACCGAGAGAGCGCTCCATTTTGACAGAGTTTTTCCTGGAGCAAGAGCGAGCGGATGCAAACCGTCTTGAAAGGTTCACGGCGTCGTCAACCGCTGCCTCGTTGGCATCTTCAACCGACAAGAACAACGAGGATACTATTAGCATCTCGGATAAGTTCTTCATCTCTCTGGATAATGGGAGCGAGGTTGCAGCCTCGGAGATTGCATCCACAATCATATCTGCGGAGGAATTCCCGTCTCTGGATATCTACCAGGAAGAGAAAACGGCTTCGAACGATTCGCAGGAAGAAAAGACCGCCACAGGACAGAGCGTGGATGCCGCAGAAATGGATAATGACCAACCACAATTCGCCGATCCTGCCAAGAAGGAAGACAACGCTGTACCATTCGAGACACGTTCAATGTCGCCAGAGGCACCAGCAACGCCATCCCCCAGGTTATCACCAATCCTTCTTTCGCTCGAAGATCTGCGTGATATCCGCGAGGGTGCTAAATCCGTTGGCAACCGTGCGGAACTTGACAATATGCTCGTGGCGGTTGCACCGACAGTACCATCAAGTCTACCCAGTTCACCAGTGGAACAATCAAAACGCCGTTTGGTGCCAAGCTTGTCGCGAGAAGACCTTCGGATCAAATCGTTCCGAGATGATCATGGCTTCGTTCGGAGGGCCAGGCGAAACACGGCAGAAGCAGCATCTGCAAGTCCTTCCTATCGCAATGTGGCAGCTGGTTCCTTGAAACTACCTGCTGCGAGGTCTGTATCTTCGGAAGCCTTTATGAAGTCGTTCAAGAGGGATCCTAGATTCGCTTATGCCCAAAAAGATCTGAAGCAAGAAGCGGATGTGTGTGCACGCAGCGAGAACGCCGCGGAGCTACAAGACGAGTCGCACCATTCAAGTGGGGCTCCGTCGTATCGCAATGTGGCAGCGAAATCTGTAAAGTCCGTTTCAGGAGGTTCATGGAACGCCCGCCGCAGTAGCCCAGACACAAAACCTAAGAATCAGCTTCAGAGGGATCAGTGCGCAAGGAGTGAAACAGCTGTTGAAGGGCATGAAGACCTTCAAAACTGGAACGATAGCAGGAGGAGCCACGAAGACAACAATCCTGACAACATCACAGTGGGCAAAGACGGTTCCACAACGATTACATCTGCAATGTCACATCGAGAGTCAGAAGAAACATCTCATCTTCGCGAGGAGCTTCAAAATTTCCGTGACCTTGTGCTTACGTTGGGAGCGGAGGTCTCAAAGCTAAAGAATCAGCTCGCAGCCCAGCATGGAGGTGGTGCAGCGCACCCACCATTTGATTATTCAAAAGGATTCGTGCAGCCGGTGCACGGGGCAGCATCGTTCGATCCAGAATGCATGCCCCCCTTCTTTCAGAAAGGACAAGCGCTTGGTGCCATGAGTGACGCAGGGATTCATCGAGGCGAATACGAACAATCGCAAATCAGTGAAGATGACGAAGCCAAGGTCGGCTACAACGATGGGAGGAGGCTGTCTTCGGGAGCCACCATTGCGGGTTCTGATGTGTCCATTGAGCCAGCGAGCAGCAGCCACGCGCTGCAAGGCCCTGTGGGGTTGCCCGCTCCTATGAGCAGAGACTCTCACGCGGAAAATGGATTGCAAACCCGCCTTACAGAAGACATTCTGCGCTTCTTGGCCGCTACGGAGTTGCAGCACCGAAAACTAGACAGCACAAGGGACGCTGCTGTCGAGCGGATGACTAGGCTAGTGAATGCTTTGTGGCCCAGAGCACAGGTTAAGCTCTACGGTAGCCACGTCACTGGGCTTTGTCTCCCCAATTCTGATTTGGACTTCGTCATTTGTCTTCCGGCAGTTCACAAAATTGGGCCTGCGGTTGCACCTGGAGTCTTGGAGGGGCGCAATGCAATCAACGAGACATCACAGAAACTGCTCGCTCGAAAGCTAAAAGGGGAGTCTTGGGTGGACCCTCGGTCGATCAAATTGATTGAACGAACGGTGGTACCGGTAATTAAAGTGGCCACCAAGGACACTCGGGCTCGTACAACTCACTTGGACATTAGCTTTGACAGCCCTGAGCATCATGGACTGGAAGCAGTTGTTATGGTGAAACAGATCGTGGAGGAGCTCCCAATGATACGCCCATTGGTGCTCATCTTAAAGCAATTCTTGCTGGACAGAGCGTTGCTGACAGCCTACACAGGAGGCCTCTCGTCATACTGCCTCTTTTTGATGGTAGCGAGGTATCTCCAGGAGCAGCCATCTTCATGGGGAGACTGTGGGTCTTTGTTAATGGGCTTTCTTGACTTTTACGGGAACTGCTTTGACCCCAGGTCCACGGGAATCAGTGTTGGCCGTCGCCAGTACTTCACCAGGCCAAACTATGTTGCGGTCCAGCGCCAAGCAGCTGGACAACACATGTGGCATGGAGTCTCACCGAGCCCCGGAGTCAGGCCAAACCAATCCGCAGCGGGAGCCAGCCCTGGGTTTTACCGCCGCAACACAGTGGGCGAATCGGGCGGAGGCCCACTGATGAGACCCCCCAGGTTTCAACCAGCAGGCACGTCAGGGTCGAGATTTATGCGGCACATGCCCCACCCAACAGAGCACGCCCTGAACCTGGAGGCTCCTTTGGACCACGCCATGCCTTTCACCTTCGATCCTCTCTTTGTGGAGGATCCCCTGTCATATGGCAACAACGTTGGCAGAAACTCTTTTCGAATCTTTCAGGTACAGCGCGCCTTTTCTGACGCTCATAGAGCCCTTGTTGCTTCTCTGGAATGGGAATTTGAGTCAACAGGGGAGAACAACAATGACTACCCGTTGTTGAAGTGCTTGCTCCAAAGTGAAGATGTCCTCTATGAACTCTAGCTAGCTAGTAGACGGGTTCCCTTACGACATAAAAGCTAGCTAATTCCAGAAGAAACGTTCAAGGTTACATGTACTCCACGATTTGGATGGACTTCTTTTGTACTGTCACTGGTGCCGGGTAGCTAGTTAGGAAAAACAACTTTGGGTAGCCTGCCACAACGGCGTTGTCTCCCTTTGCTTCTTGAGCGTATACCGTTATTGTGTCCTCTGTACACAATGTCATGAAATTCCGTACAGGCTGCTTCGATGTCCCCTCTCTCGCAAAGCTAGCTACGTACAGTCGTAGCTCCCCCCGCCAGCTTCCGTGGATGTAACTTCCCCCTCACTCTCAACCCCCTTCGTCAAAAGCTACAGTCGTACCGTACCGGTGGTACTAGCTAGCTAGCTAGCTACGGTAGTAGCTGCATGGTGGAAGCAAAGCACGCGCCACAAGAGAGAGATCTGACGACGGCCAGACATTCGAATCTTATCACCAGGGGGTTTCGAGTCGCTTCTTTGGAGGCAAACGCAGCGCCACCATCGAGACCGACCTTCGTCTTCCTCTTGTTTGGCTTGGCTTCGTATCTTCCTCCATAGCACGGTACTGGAAGTCCGTAAAGGAAGACGCTACTATCTGTAAAGGGAGACACAATCTGTAAAGAAAGACATCAGTCAAGTCAAAGAAGGAACGATGCCGGGGGATCCTCGCCAAGACCCGCGGCGAGCCGCCGATCCTCGAGCCGCCGCCGCCGCCATGGGAGGACCACCGCCCCCTCCTCCCCCACCTCAACCAATTTTGTTTCCCCCACCTCCGCCTCCTCCTAGTAATGCTGGAGCGAGTGCTATTTTGTTTGGCGGCGAAGATGCCATGGACGAAGAGGACGAAGATGTCAACATGACGGAGATTCCTCGACACGGCAATAACAACCACAGTAACTTGGCGGGTGGTCCATTGGCTTCTGGTGTCGTCGAGGCTGTGGCCGAACCGTTGCCTCTTCCCACTCGCATCATGACGCCGTCTCCGTATCCCCACCACACTCGTGGCGCCACCAGTGCGCGTTTCCGAAATGCCTTGAACCGTGTGACGACCCATCCCACTTCCGATAGCGAAGCATGGGCTGCCTTGTTGACCGAAGTACAAACGTGTTGGCGCCAGCTACAACCTACCTTGCATTTGCCCAGTGTGGAAACACAGGCTCGATTGGAATTCCTAGTGTCTTGTCATGGAGCTTTGCTGCAGTATTTTCCATTTGCTGTCCAACATGCCACGCAATTGGCAGAAATGCTACTGGAGGCGAGTGCCAGACCAGGAGAACCAGGTGGACCCAGTGCTACCACGGCGGTTGATACACAGAGATTGAGACTCTGTGAAGGACAATTAGAAACCATCTTTCAAAGATATCTCAATGCCAAAAGTGGACATGAATTTGCGCTCTTGCAGGAGATTGACAAAGCTACAACTGCCGATGCAACAGCAACCGCCACTAAGAGCAACCCCAGTGATACGGATCAAAAAGAAACCGACAAATTGGAAGCAATAGCTTTTCTACAGACAGCACCCCAACAACAGCAACCACCGACAGACGCGACGACAACCACCACCCCACCCCCCGTCACTGGTTCCACAACCACTGATAATGGCAACAGCAACAACAACAACACTACTGTTGCAGTTGCAGAAAATAATGCCACACAAGAAGCCGATTTGCGCAAAGTGCTAGGAGGAATGGGAGCCTGGTCAGTTGGTCTGTGGATGGTCTTTCTCAAAAAAGTTCATCGCGATATTCATCGACATGCCCGCACCAGTGTCCCCCACGATATGAGGGCCAAATGGTTGCGGACGAAAATGGTGGCCAGCTACGAATTGGCACTGAACCATGTCGCTTTTGGATACAACAATCACTTGATATGGACCGAGTACTTGCAATACGTCAAATCCTGGACTGCTGGTGGTGGCGACAATAATAACAATGGAGATCCCCTGGTACAGCAACAACAAATGATTCAACTGCGCAGTGTGTATCAACGATTGGTTCAATTGCCGATGACGGGACTCGACAATCTATGGCAGGAATACGAGTCCTTTGAACGATCGCACAGTGAAGAACTGGCAACTGCCTTGTTGGCCGATTACACACCCAAATATCAGCATGGCCGAACGGTCTACTTGGAACGCGCTCGCGTGTATCATTATACGGGCGATCTGCAGCTCGGACGATTGGCGACACCGCCCGTCACGCGACGCAGTGATGGTACCCAAGGCGGTGCGGATAATGCCGAAGAGGGGGCCGGTGGCAGGCAATCCCTCGAGGATTACATGGCCAATCTAAAGGAAGAATACAAGTTGCTACAAGCTTGGAAGAAACGGGTTAGTTACGAAAGGACCAACCCGGAACGAGTCACTTCCGCCGAACTGCCAAAACGAATGCGACACGCCTATCTCGAAATGGTCAGTGTTCTGACGCGACATCCGGAAGTATGGAATATGTGGGCCATGTACGAATACTATCATGCGCACAAACCTGTGCAAGCTCTGGCGGTGCTACAATGGGGACTCCAGTATATTCCCGACTGCACACTGTTGGCACACACACAATCGCAGTTGGTGGAAGATTACTGTGGAGCTGCTCTCATGACAAGCAGCGCTGGACAATCCAATCTGGCGTTGCAAGTATTAGAACGGTTTCTGCAAACATCACCCAATACACTGGCATTTTGCTTGTACCAACAAATGGTACGAAGATATCAGGGAATGAAAGCGGCCAGGGCAGTGTTTGCACGAGCGAGACGCGTTTTGACGGAAAACGCAAAGAACTCGGCCGCCGAGACGGATAAAATCAAGGAGGAAGATGAAACTGGCGAGGACGGAAAGGATTCCTCTGGAGGATGCAAAAGATGGATGGTTACCAATCGATTGGGGCCCAACATTGGCGGAAAGCAAAAACAACCAAAGGATGGCGTATTGGCCAATCTCAAGTCAGAACCAGCAGCAGACCCAAGCAGCAGTGGCACGGATGAGGAGGAGGCGGGTGCTAGCAAACTTGCCACGGCTCCAATCACATGGCACCTCTACGCATCCCATGCCACAATGGAACACCGGGTCAACCATTTTCCTGATATTGCGGCGCGGATCTACGAATTGGGGTTACGAAATCACCCGCATTTTTTGACTCGGCCTCCGTTTGTCTTGCGGTACGCACAACTCTTGCTGGAACTCAACGACACAGAAAACTTGCGGGCGTTGCTGACAAGGGCTGTGGCAGCTGCCACCGATGAAAATGGAGCGTCCTCCTCCTCGTCCAGCCAAAAGAGTTCTGTCGCGGCTGTCTTGTGGGATATGACGCTCCTGTTTGAAACAATCTTATCTGGAGCTGATCCAATGGCCAGCCATCTCATACAAGAAGTTGAACGGAAACGGCACATGGCGCTCCTGGGCCCGGACCTGGAAGATGTTGCAACCGGGGGATATCAGTTGGAGTCTTCCACGTCCACCACTATTGGAGCACAAAAGTCGACAATTGGTGAGCTGCTGATCCGGAATGATGGATACGACGTTAGTTCACAGGTCGTAAACGGCATGGCCCGTTCGGTCAGTGTATTGGAAGTGATGGGACTCTGGGGTTCGAATGTCATGAGTGCGGAACTTTCTGTGAAGCAACGCAGTCAGCCCGTGAGATCAGGGCTGGAGATGTTGGAGGAAGACGATAACCCCGCTGAACGATCAAGTGGGGCCAGCGATTCCACCTACCAGCGTAGGCTCTTGTACCAACGAATGCATGAGTCAGGCATGCTGCATGGTGGTGGTGGTATAGGAGGCATGGATAGCAGTGTAGGTGCCGCTGGCGCCGGGACCAAGATATTGTCGGCACGAGAACGGATGGCAACTGCCGGTTCTGCTGGCGGCGGGACCAATACGGCAGTGAACATGGCAATTCAACAGCAGCCGGAATGGATTCGGCCACTTTTGTTGATGTTGCCCATGTCCAAGCTTCGACTTCCCATGCTCTCCAAGCCCCCACCTCACATGACCGAAATGGCATTGCAACAGCTAATTCAAAACCCTCTTCCGGCCGAACGTCCACAAGACGACAAGGGACGTGCAGCCAGGAACCAACCAAATGCGCGTGCCTCGGGCAAGAAGCGTTCGCTAAATGGAGGCGGAGACTCGTCTGACGAAGATGATGGTGCCACAGGGAGTGGCGGCTATGGGATGCAGTTTCGAGCAAGACAGCGGGCAAGAATGTCGGCTTCCGATCCAGGTGCTGAAGCTAATTAAAATAGCATCTTGATTATGCTCGTCCGTCCCCCTTTCTGTGTCATTGCCCCCGTGTCTACATCGAACTTGGATGAGGCTAAGTTTCCCATGATCCTTCATCCATTAAAACTGGGCGTTAAGCAACATGAACTGTGAACAAGAACGCCCCGTGTACCTACCTGGTATTGGTCCCATTTGTTTCCCCTTTGTCTATATCATGCATGGGCTTGTCAAAATCCAAGCCGCCCCGCCAAAAATCAAGCACAAAATCTGTCAAAGCAGCACTACGAACCATCAAACAAGCCCATCCTGGTCAGTGATCCTGGAGCAGAGTTCGATTACAATCATACATAATATTTTAGTTCCAAAATTTGATTACAACTGAAAGGAGTTTCTGGTTTTATAAAATAGTACATATATTGTTTCCCCTCTCTACTAGCTAGCTACCGGTAGCAGACTTTTCTTTGGCGTGACGTTGGAGCTGCCAGTTGTTCTTTGCCTGTCGTTGGTAGGGGAAAGTTTGGGCATCCGGAGTGAAAGAACAGGACAGCAACATCGCTGTATAGTGTTTGACAACTTGATAAATGTCCGCGTCAATGGATTCTTGTGGTGCAATGTGGAGCTCGCTTTTAAATCCAACGGTTCCCGCATCTATTTGGGGAGTTGGTCTTCTGTGCGTGGTCGTTGCTTCATAGCCAATGTCATTGTCGTCCAAGCAGATTGCTACAATCTCTGGTTCGTCGACGATCGACATGGCATCAAATTCGAGTACAGTAATGTTGTTCACGGATATGGGCAAGGAAAAGACCTTCCAATGGTTCCCATTGAATTGGAAAAGGATTCATTGTTGTATGTAGTCAGTTGAAATCTTGACTTGATTGCTCGTAGCTTGTATTCCATAAAGAAAGCAGCCGTAGGATACAGGAGGCAACTCAACTGGAGTGTCGACGCAATTCAGTTCCACAGTAAGAGCAGGGCCCGCCTCTTTTAATTACTATCATCCCTTTCTTCTTCGACTACACCGGTAGCTTTCTTCTCGTAGATCCGAGTAGTGCCAACTGTCATCATTCCAGTGTCCACAATGTGCATCAGAATCCTGGACAATGGCCAGGACTGTGGTACGGCCTTGCATCAGAGGACCAATCTGGACTAGACTCTGTTATAGCTGTTGTCGGTCGGGTCGCTCCACTCTGCACCGCTACGTGGTACCGTACCCAGACCGAAAGTCTGATTCGACTAGATGATTGAATCATTCGACCCCAACAGGGCGATTCCAAGGGACTTGAAGGTGCGTCGACCTCCCTTCTGGTGCTCGTTTGTTTCTAAAAGAGACCTAGCTAGCTAGCCACGAGAGCTGTGCCAGAGCATTGCATCCAGCGATGATTAGCGTAGCGGCCTTCTGCCTCCCATCGTTGGCAACCGAGACCCAAACCGCCTCTCGCGAAGGAGATCACCTCGTTCTTCGGACCAGTCACCGGTACCGGTACACAGGTGACGGTACGGAGAAGTGATTACCACTCCCAATGCGGTCTTTCAATAACACATTGTCATGAGTTCTCCCAGAATATTTCTTTCTTCAAGGACTCTTTGAAATAAATCTTTTGTTCTCCCCGTCTTTATCTTTTGAAACAAGACTCGAGTAAGGTACACAGAGTGGTACATGTTTTAATAAATGTACTGTAAAGGTACCGGTACCGGTATCGTACGGTATCATATATGAAACTGTACTTAGACTGGTTCTCACGAGAGATCACAAGCAATGCATCCAGACCGCACCAGTGCGTCCTCTAGCTAGCTCTTACCGTACAAGCAACCAAAGCGAATTCTTTGAGTTGAATGGTAAAACAAAGGATTGCAAAGATGGACAGAACCCAGAACCCTTGAGCCGCTGCAAACTGCGATGCTGCACTCGCCCTCTGAAGTCCATTCCCACACACAGTCCACTCTACCACGCAGTGACCCGCGTAGTTCGTACATGTACCGATAACCATTTTATTGGTTTATTGGTTTACTGGAGACTGCAACAAGGCTCTCATCATCACCTCTTTCTGACGGTCCCTCGTTGCCAAAAGCTTACCAACCAGCAGCGTTGGCAGAGAGGTCCAGCCATCCATCTTGATAATACCAGTAGCCACAGAAACAAGTCAGCAGCATGAGTTCATGCGCAAGTGGATCGACAAAGGGCACGGACGGGGACGCCGACATTGTGGAGATTGACATCGATACTGTTGGCCACAAGGATGAAGCGACTGTCTTAGTGGATATTCTCACCAGGAGCGACGAATTGGAAGATGCGCAAATTGGGGCGTCTCAGGGAGCTTCTGGCTCAAACGATATCGGAGGAGCTGAGCACATGCAAGAAGGCCAAGCAGGTTTTCTAACGGACCTTCTGACCAAGCGAGACGAGCTGGAAGCAGCACAAGCAAATTCCGACAGGGTTATCACCAATCCAGAATGCCAAGATTTTGGGCCTGGCAGTAGCCAACCTGGTGCCCATCATGTGAGTGCAACCAACGAATACCGTGTTGCTACTTCTGGAGGACTGGTCAAGAACAGCGTGACAGAAGCGCAATCGCGGCAAGTTGACATTGCGACTACAAAGACAGTATTGAGGGATACTGCAGATATCCACCTATTATCCAAGCCGGGGGCCTTTCCAGCGGCAACTGGCGCAGCTGTAACTGCGGTTATTACATCCAAGAATATCGAAAACGAAGTGACAAATGTCTTGGTAACTCGGGAAAACGTGATGGATTCCTCCAACAACAATCCAGATTCTCTGGGAGGAGAACCAGGAGAAGGCGGTCCACAACCGGGTGCCTATCCCATGGCTAGTGTCCCAAGGCCAACTGAATCATCCGAGCGGGAGGAATCACGAATCCAAAATGAACAAGCGCCATGGGACATTACTGGATCTGTTTTCCACGCGAACATTACAAGGGGGCAATACGATGGAGCTGCGCCTCCCCTACCAGGAGAAACGGCACTACGGCGAGGAAGATATGTCGAGCAGACCGTGGAGCCAGGAGCGGTGGCAACGGCAGGGCAAACTATGCAAGAAAACCCCGATGCATCCATAATGTGGAATATGGCCACAACGGAGACGTATAATGCCCCTCTCTTTGGAGGTGGCACTAGTGGACTGGTGGAAGCCAGAGCTGTGGACGAAGAGGACCCAGCAGATCTGACCCGTGCCTTCGAAGTGGACCCGGATGCGAAGATACAGAAGCAAGATTCCGCTCTTTATCAAGCTTTGGGTGTTGCCGTTTGTTTGGTCGCTGGTCTCTGCGTTGTGTTGGGCCTTTTTCTGGGACTCAAGAATGCCAATGAGGATGATGTAACAACAGCTGCATCTACTGCTTTTGGTTCCATGGAACCATCGGGGACACCATCCTCTGCCCCCACATCAATTCATGAGTCCCTGCTCCAGAACCTGCCTGATTACACCCTGTCGAGCATCTTCAATGGCAGTGACACCCCCCAATGGAAAGCATGGAATTGGCTTGCCAATCACCAGAACATCAGTTTTCTTCCGGACTGGAGAAAGACACAACTGTTCGCTCTAGCATGCTTCTACTATTCCTTTGAGGGTGATAATTGGTTTAAACCAATCAAGGAAAGGTGGATGGATGAAACAGTGGATGAATGCTCTTGGTACTCAAGTGGATATTCCTACTTTTTCAATGGAGAACTCCAGTTTTATGACAATGTACTCCTTCCTTGCAATCATCTGGGAGAATTTACAAATCTGCAAATGGAAGACCTACAGCTCTCAGGCCTGAACCCTTCTGTTCCACCTGAGGTTACACTGTTGACTGCCCTCAGCAGTTTGCATTTGGGATGGAACGAGATTGAGCAACCAATTTCTGCTTTGTTACCAACATCACTCTACAAAATGACTGCCCTGGAATCACTGCGAATGGAGTTGAATCACTTAACAGGTGAAATTCCCACTGAGCTTGGCATCTTTACACATCTGCATTCGCTGAACATGAGAGTCAATCATTTGAGTGGCACACTGCCATCAGAGATTGGTCTGCTGACAGATCTGTCATTTTTTCACTTAGCTGTTACACAGGTGTCAGGAAAGGTACCTACACAACTCGGGCTCTTGACTGCTTTGACAGATTTGTGGTTGAAGGACAACACGCTTTCCGGCCAGATTCCTTCTGAGCTCGGACTTGTGACTGGATGGAAGAGATTTTATCTTGAAGGGAATGCTTTCACTGGTCAAATCCCTTCCGAGCTGGGCCACCTGACTGCATTGGATGTTTTTCGGTTGGACTGGAATCAATTGACTGGTCAGATCCCTTCGGAACTTGCACTGCTGAGTAGGGTGACTGACTTTGATTTGCGAGAAAATCAGCTAACAGGTCAACTTCCACCAGACTTTGGACAGATGGTTTCATTGAGGGGGTTGTGGTTGTCAGGTAACAAACTCACAGGCCAGATTCCAACAGCAATCTGGTTGCTTCCCAACTTGACAGAGTTCCTTCTAGCCAATAACCTCTTCATTGGAGATTTGCCAAGTGAGATGGGGCTGGCGACTTCATTGCAAGAGCTGGACCTTTCCGTGAATCATTTCTTGGGCACAATTCCAGTTGAAGTTGGCATGATGACAGCCTTGGCTAAGCTGTACCTTCACAACAACAGCTTGACAGGAATGCTGCCCAGTCAACTAAATGAGTCCATGGGGTTGAGGCTAGAAGGAAATCAGTTCTCTGGAGTTGTTCCAGAGCATCTATGTGCTGTTTTGTGGTGCGACTGTTCAGCCAATGTCACCCTTGTGGACAGTTGTGCTGACCTGAATGAATTTGCAGCTTTTCCGGGAAGGTCCCCACCCCCTGGAGCCATTGGGAATGATGCTGCAATTGTTCTCAACATTGAAACTGATGCATTCCCAGGAGACATGGACTGGGAATGGCAGCAAGAATCCAATGTATCAGGTGTGTGGGAAACCCTGGAAGATTCTAGTGGTCCGCTTGAAGTCAAAAACTTTTTGTTCTCTTGGATCCTTCCTGTTGCCCATGAGGTGACATACAGGCTAGTGGTGTCAGAATCTTATGGTGACGGCTTTTATCAGTCAGGATGGATAGCTCTCACAGCAGCGAATCAAACAGTGCTCTATTCGTTTCTTGGTGAAGAAGCTTTTACTGAAATCACTGTGGTCATGTCTGTCGGCGCTGATGGATCAGCTGAAGCTGTCACTCACAGTGTCTACTGTGATCCAAAGCATACCCATTGCAGCAGTGCTGCTGCATAAGCAGCTCTTGCTTGTCCATGTGATAGATTCAACATTTAGGAAGTTGCATTGATTACTTTTAAACTCCATGTAGAGCTATATAGTCCGCTTGTTGGGGAAGATGTCTACTGTGTCGTCCAATGAATTGCAGGGTCTTGACCTCAAGCACGCTGGATATGTATACGTACCTGTTGCTTTTTGGGTGTACCTGTTGCCTTTGGAGTACAGGTAGCTAGGTAGGCAGGTAGCTTTACTAGCTAGGGAGGGACTGAGCAATGTTTGGTCATCCCAACTGCAATAAGACCTACCCGATCTGTCCCTGCAATAAGGCTTTGATTTTGGTTCTGCAGCGCAAGAGCAAGAGACTGAAGGGTCACAAAGGAGCAATTGGAGAAGAGGTGGGGCCATGAACGTATATGCTGCAGTATGGGAAGCAACATCAACAACCCGCAACGAGAGCAGGGAGGCAACATCACCGGATCCCACAAATTCAAGCCCTTTGGCCTCGTGCGTCGTGCGTGTTAGTCCCCAGTTTCAGCACCCCTGGGCCCACCGAACCTAGCTCTAGCTGTAATCTGTGTAGTCCTGAGTTTCAAGCCTGGCCCCTTGTCAGCTTCCGTAGTAGATAACTTCCCTATTCAAGACCTCCATAGCACAACATCAACAACAATAAGATAGTACCTACAAGATGCCGCTAAGTTAGCGTCAACTCTTGTGACATTCTCCGACCTACGGGCTTATAGACAAACGCACTTGGACAGTTCAGAATTTCAGTGTCGACCTCCGACCTCCGACCCTCGACAATGGTGATCAAGATCCAATAGACCAAGGAAGGGCATTTGACACTGTAGCAGTAGTACGACGCATAGCCATTCGAAAACACAATTATTTGCCCAGAGTGCAGACAAACCTGTACCGTATTTGGGAAGTTGTCTTTATGCCTCGTGCCAACTCCACTGTTGGCATTCGGTGCTGGATCTTCTTCCATTTCTTCTTTTGCTGGTGGACCATGATACGATTGCGACCGTCATCCGCCTTGACCCTACAACACCACGTGAGGAGAAAATGGTGGTCCACATTGCATGCCGCCCGATGGTCCACACAAGAAATGACGACGTATGAACCCTTATTGATTCCTTCTTCGTATCGCATCATCAACCTTTCGACGGCGGCTCAAGATATCGCGGATGAAATGGCGGATGCGTTGACCCGAACGGCCATTCGACGCATGAGGCTATCGCAGCTGAGGGAAGAGTTGCGTCATCGAGGAGTTTGTCAAGAAGGAAAACGCGATGAATTAATGCAACGGTTACTGGATAATTTAGAACAGGAGAAAAGCAACAATCATCATCCAACAGTACACTCTTCCGAGGTATCCATATCCCTTCCCAAAATGAACCCTCTTCAGGACATGGACACGGAAAGTGAAACTCCTATTCGGGAACTTTCTTCAGACGATGATGATGATACCTTGCAGATTCCAACGATGCAGCAATTGTATACTGCAGATGAGCAGGAGCGAGGCGACGACAACGAACGCCCTTTTTCCATCGATCCAGGTTGGACCTACCTCATTCGCGTCAACTGTGCCCATGCGGGAGGAACCCGAGTAGTGGAAGGATCGGGCGTGGGAATGACTTTGCTCCAAGTGGATCCTGACGCCGCGGATGCGGTACTCCAGACCAACCAAATACTGCTCCCAGGATCCGGGAGGACTCCCTTTGAAGCGGACTATTGCGCTCTCATCATGGCTATGCGACATGCCAAGGATTGTGGGATTCGTCATCTCATTGTGGAAATGGATGCTCTCGGAGTCGTCCGACAAGTCACAGGACAAGGAACCCTGGGTAGCAAGGGGTATCAGCAAGAATTGCATCAAAAGGTACTGGAATTGAAACAAAGCTTTGACACTTGTGAAATTGTGCACCACGGTGAAGGACATAAAAAGAAACGACGTCGAGATGCACCCAAGGATGCCAATAGGATCCTGGCCATGTCGGCATTGGCCCAACAACGAGAGTTGCAGTCATCATCCGATTGGGCCATGATGGAGGATCCCCTCACGAACATGGAAGCGACAGCGAAAAGTAACAGCAACAACAACAACCAGCACAAGTACAACATTGATCCCGACAGGGAATACCTACTCCAATTTGATGGAGGAGCACGGGGGAATCCGGTCGGGGTGGCTGGAATTGGAATGGTGATATTTGATGATACAACAAACAAAGACACTGAAGTTTGGGTTGGATGGGACTTCTTGGGAAGCGATGTCACCAACAATGTTGCCGAATACAAATCACTCATTGCCGGACTGGAATGCGCCCTGCAGTTGGGCATTCGCAAGATACGGGCCGAAGGAGATTCGCAACTCGTCGCGAGACAAGTGACGGGGCAATACAAAGTGAAAAAGGATTGGTTGAAACCACTCTGTGCCCGTGTCAAGGAGTTGAGCCAACAATTCGATACGTTTAGTATCCATTCCGTCCCGCGGGCGGCCAACAAACGAGCCGATTACCTGGCCAATCATGCCATGGATACAGGGACTGGCAACAAGGAGTGCGTATGAGCTGCTACCACGGAAAAGATGCACAACTTGCAACAATTTTTTAGCGGCTTGCCCTGTTGTTGCTTCAGGTTTTGCCTGGCCGCTGAAACATCATCGCCTCGCACATGCTGCTTTCTGAACTCATGGCCAAGTCTTCAGAGACCGCGATCAATGCAGTTGAAGGTCCAGAAACGGTTCAGCTGTGGAGGCAATAGCATGGCCAGGCCAGACAACCTGGTGCTGCCTTTGGCCTGATCTTGCTCGAGATCATAAGAGACCAATGGGAGATCCGCAGGTTGAATGATGGGCCCATCCTATTCAGATTGCTACAAAAAGACGCAGGCTGCGGATTACTGCCATATCGCTTCGCCTCCCCATCCGCTACATCATAGCTAGTAAATCAGAACAAAACCAGTGAACGGCGAACTTCTTAGCTTACTAGCACTACTACTAGTAGACTATTCCATTTATTTATCCGCGTCCCTTCATGTAACTGACACCCTGCCCGAGTTGTCCGGTTCTGGCTCCACCCTGGGACGCAGCCATGGCACTGTTCATCATATTACTCATGGGTTTGCCCTGACCGTTCATCAATCCAGTGGCATTGGCACCTGGATCTTGCGATTTGGGTGCTATAATAGTTTCATCAATGGACAAAATGACACAGGCCGCTTCCACAGCAGCATTGAAGGAGTTGCTCTTGTTGTCACTGGGTTCCCAGACACCCGTTTCAAAGGTATCACAGACCGACCCGGTCTTGACATCCACACCAAACCATTTTTCGTCGGATCCTTCCTGCGCGTGTTTCCGACGCAACGCCGACAAGATATCCGTGGCATCAAATCCCGCATTGTCCGAGAGTTGTTGTGGAATAACTTCCAACGCTTTCGCTAATGCGTTGACGACCAATTGTCCCTTGCCTTCAATGGTCAATGCGTGATTCTTTAAATGTCGTGAGACTTGCATTTCGACGGCACCACCACCCGCCACCACCGATCCGGATCGAATGGCGCGTTTGACGACCATCAGCGCATCGTGGACGGATCGTTCCGATTCGGCAATGAATTGTTCGGTACCTCCGCGCAAGACAATGGTACTGGTCAAACTGGAAGGACACCCGGTAAAAACGTTAAAGCGTTGATCTCCCACTTGTCGTTCTTCAAATACGCCGCTGGTGCCTAGAATGCTTTCGGACAATCCACTGGTGGTGGTTTGCACGGCAGCACCAGTGGCTTGCGCAACGCGTTTCATATCCGATTCGGGCACACGTCCGGCACAGAACAATCCCTTGTCGGCAAAGTATTGCGTGGCCAAATCTCCAATGGGTAACTTGGACATGACAATGTTGGCTCCGCAGTTGATGCAGGCATCCATTTTATCGTAAATGACTTGCCATTCGGCATCGACAATGGATTGATACTGATCGGGATCGGTGATGCGGACTTCGGCATTTTCTTTTTCACTCTTGAGTTCGAGTTCGACATTGAGTAGCAATACTTTGGGATTATCAAACTTTTTGGTCATTTGATCAAATCCAGCATAGCTAAATGTCTTTTTAAAAGCGACGCCCTGAACCCAAAAGGATTGACGAACATCTCCACCGGGAATTCGTTTAATGCCGACGAGTGAATTGACGTCGTCCAATCGATTCTTGGCCGCGAGTAATTCGACGGCATCGACGACCATGGGAGAGAATAAATCCTGATGAGACGCAATGAGTTTGGAATTGAGTGCGGTGGAAGCACACTTGAGCAGCATGTCCTTTCGCTGGTCGCCTTCAAACGACACGGCCATGTCGAGTACTTTTTGTACGGCCAACTGTCCAGCTTCGGACAAGTGACGACGAATAATTTGCGGCGGCACGCCTTCTTCGACGAGTGGTTTGATTTGTTGCAGTATTTCACCCGCCAACATGACGACCGAAGTGGTACCATCTCCCACTTCGGCATCTTGACTCATGCTGATATCCACCAATGTGCGGGCAGCGGGGTGTTCAATTTCCAATAATTTCATAATGGTGGCGCCGTCATTGCTAATGGTCACTCGGGATCCATCAAAGACCAACTTGTCGCGACCTGAGGGACCCAATGTCGTTCGGACGGCATCGGCTACGGCATAACACGCGTTGATATTGGAAATCAATTGGGGTTTGCCCTGATAATAGAAATAATAATAATAGTAGTAGTAGAGAGAGTAACCATGATGAGTGAGTGGTCCGTAAAGAAAGCTGCAAAAAATCAGACCCCTCTCATAATTCATACATCTGTCTCACTTACCTGCGATGTATCAGTTCCTTCACGGAGAAGGATAATACCTGGACGCATTCCAAACGGGTTCGACGCCATTGTCAAAGAGTATTTCTAATAGTCCTTTCTCTTGCTCAAAAAAAGAAATTGCTTTTGGCAAAGGGAGGCCAATGCTGAAAATAATGGGATGAGGTCCACGAAACACTTCGAACGCGAAAGATTGTTGACGGACCATGGACAGACAGCTCAAAAAGATCCAAATCAGCCCACCTAAATTGTTTAATTCTTTTGGTTTCATGGAGATTTATGTATAGATAACTTTAAATCTTTTGCCAAAGGTCATTCGACGAAGATCCAACGACCACACACAAAACTTTGGCCTTCCAAGAACAAAAAGCAAGAAAGACCAAGACAAGTATATCCCAGAGACAGATAGATCCTCTCTCCAACTACAACAACTAACTAACAACAACCATCATCCATCTATTATGGGCGAAGACGGCGTCAAGAAGATCCGCTCCAGAAAGGCGGGTCCCCAATCCCCACCCACGGTGGTCTGTACCGCCAGTGGTCCTCATTCCAACAATGTCGAACTGGGCTTGGTCATTTCCTTGCTGATACTGACGGTCTATGTGTTTGGCTTTTACGAATCGGTCGTTTCGGTTCCCGATGTGGGTGTCAAGAGTGTGTTATCGTCCAAGAGCTGGTATCGACATTTGGGAGAAAACCTCAATGTGGCACGCAGTGAATTCACGACGGTGGTCAGCAAGAATAATAATCCAGTCAACAACAACAATAATAACAATCAAGCTCCAGCCAATAACAATAACAACAACAACAACAATCAAGGAGGAATCTCTCGTATGGACATGGTCGCAGGACAAGAGAATAAACCACAACAACAGCACCAACAACAGCCTCCTCCACCAGCCAATAACAACAACAAGGGCTTTGGCAAACTCAACATGCCCTATGGTCTCCCCGAAGATCAAATTGTCATTCCTCCTCACAAATGGCCCGTTTCGATAAGAGACGAAGTCGACAATACCGAACCACTCTTGCATTCCGGGGACAAAAAGACGGTCATGACAGTCCCCAAACTCTGGTCGCTCCCCGTGCACAATTACAAATTAATGTCCCGCGAAAAAGCCCTGCAAATTGGATCTTGTGCCGAACCCGATGAAAACGGCAATGTCGCTCGGGGTGAAGCCTGTCCGCTCGATCAGAGAACTATTTTTGTCGCCATTGCATCCTATCGCGATTTTGAATGTCGGACTACCGTCGAATCCATCTTTTTAAGAGCCAAAAATCCCAAACGAATTCGAGTCGGTGTCGTCGATCAAATTTCCCACGGAGAAGATCCCATTTGCAATGAACCCGTCAAGGATTGTGCCACAGATCCCAATCAGGCACTCTGCTTGTACGTCGATCAAGTCGATGTCTACGAAATGGAGGCCGCGCTGTCCATTGGACCCGTCTTTGCTCGGCATATTGGATCGCGCTTGTATCGGGGCGAGTACTATGCCACCCAGAGTGATGCCCACGTTACCTACACGACTGACTGGGATGCCGATATCATTGATCAAATGGAACAAACGCATAATGAAATGGCGGTACTGTCCACCTATTTGACCGATGTGCAGGGGTCCATTGATGAAACCACGGGACGATCCCTTCGCAATACACGTCCCATCATGTGCAATACCGTCTACGAGGGCGGACCCCAAGGCATGCATTTACGACATGCCAGTCAACCCGAACGAATGCCCAGTATTCATGGGGCACCGCAGTTGCAACCGTGGTGGGCCGCCGGATATTCCTTTTCGCGAGGACATTTTGTCGTCAATGTGCCGGTACGTGCTAGCAATGCATTTTTTTGATGATTCCTCTGTTGTTGTACATCCCCACTCTTACAGTCTGACTCATGGCTTTCTACCTTGTTTTCTTCTTTGTTTACAGTACGACCCGTATCAACCCATGATTTTCCAAGGAGAAGAAATGAGTATTGGACTTCGTGGCTACACCATGGGGTACGATTTCTATGCCCCAGAACGAAGTGTGTGCTTCCATCACTATGCCGTCGGTAAGAATGCCGCCATTCGAAACAAGGTCAAGCATTTCTGGGAGAATGGAGACCGATACGTTGGTGTGGGAAAGAAGGGCATGGCACGATTGTTGGGAATCGTTCACATGAATCCAGAAAAACCACTGGATAGCTGGGATCACTTGGAAGAGGATATTTACGGCATTGGAGGTGTGCGAACGCCCGAAAAGTTTTACGAGACCTTTGGAATTGATGTAGTCGCCAAGACTGTGGAGGGGCATCTTTGTACGTTTGTGGATGATAGTGGCAAGATGCACAAGCAATTTGTGCCCTTTTTGCGACCCGATGGTATGGGAATTGATTACACCAAGACGGACTATCGATTCAAAGATCCCTGGCCTCAAAAACAGTAAAAGACGTCGAGAGGGGTGCTGTACCAGTAGGCGGCAACCCACAACCCAAACGCGTTTATATACCGTAGTGTCTGTGTGTATCATAACAAGTAGATCAATCTTTGCAGCTTCTTCTTCTCCTCAGATTGCCTACAGTAGCGTAAGAAAGCTGCTCGAGCATGCATTGTCCTTGCTGCAGTATTAGTATGTATGAAATTTATCTAGCATGGGGCATGAATGATGTTTATTCAAACGACTTCCAGTCATCGGTATGATAGTATTCGGCCAACAAGCGGTAGATGTAGCTTGGCTGGAAGGAACCGACATTGGTAACATACAAGCTGACATGCTCTGGCTTGACGTAATCATGCACCGGATTGATCAACTCCACAGACGACAAAAGATCATCTTTTATTTCGGTAATGTCCATGACCTTGCTAGGACTGACCAAATCATTGAGCGTGTCTTGTCCTTCATGAGGGAACATGGGACACAACTTGAACATGCCAGTGATGACGACCACGGGAACGGCATTGTTGTAGGCACCCAGTGCCACCATGTTGGACCCACTCGAGGCTACGAGTCCTCCGTTGGCGAGCACGGCATGGGCCGAGAGCAAGACCTTGTTGACCCGTGCCATAACGGCAAAGATTGCGGAATCATGAATGACAATGGTGTCAATCCCTGCTTTGGCCAGTGACTTGGCCATTTCGTGTCCTCCAAAACTGGGACTGTCCTCACAGACAACGACTTGGAAGGTTCGTTTCTTTTCTGCCGCCGCAATGAGGAATCGTTCAATGGTCTTGGATTTTCCATAGGTCAAGATGACTTCTCCTGCATGAATGTGGTTGGTAGCTTGATCTTCAATATTCCCATACACATCTTCCAACTCTGTGACAATTTCCTGAATGGCTTCCATGACGGTTTGTTTGAGCTCGGGTCGATTCACATAGAATGCCGGAGGAAATTCATTGGTGGATTCCAAATCCGCTTCGGATGCAATGGAACTTTGTCGCTGATGAGAATCTGTCCGTGAGAGTGATCGATTGGATGGACTCTTGACATGCTGTGGCAGCGCCCACAGAATGCTCTGCAGCGAGAGTCGACCAGTATCCGTCGCCTTTCCGTCCGGTTCACCGGCGGCTTCTTCCCGAACGGCTGCCATGACACGACGGACAATATTCTCAATGACAGGTTCTCGGAATCCGCCCACTTCATGGAGCTCTCGACCCAAACCTCGCAGCAAGACGAGCAATTGAGCGCCATTCTTCCATCGCGTGGCTCCAATAATGTGCTTGAGCAATCCCACGGTGCGTCGTGTCACCAAGAGACGATCACTGGTCGATGTAGCTCCCACGGCAGCAATCACTCCATCTGGTCCTGCCTTGGTGGTCGATGAGAGACGACCCAAGCGCAATTCAATTTCAAACTTGTCGAGTAGGGCCAGTTGCTTGGGATGATGCTTGGACAGCCAGGAACGAACGGCGGCTGGATCCGATGTCGACAGGCTATTGCTGCCAAGATCAGGAATGCTGGAAGCTGTCATCTTTGGATGCTTTTTGGACGCAGATGATTATGAATCTCTATTTTCGCGGACAGCCGCAGACAATCTCGCCATTGTGAGCTCGCCTCAACCATCCATCAGTTTCGGGCTTGATAGTCCAGTCACTATCGGGTTTCAACCTGGAATGATTTTCCACGTTCCACGATCCTGGAGCTCTCAGTGCATCTGTCCATGATGTTGCATGTTTTCAGTGACCAAATCCAACCCCTTCCTCCACAAAAGCCCCCTACACCACTTACCCTCTCATCTCATCATATCTACTGGGTACAGTACCTAGGTGAAAAGAAGCAGAATTGCCTCCCTTGGGCAATGGACGCTGCGTTTGATAAGAATAGCGACGGAACGGTCGAGGTACGAAGCTGGGGCTGGGGATTGGTGTTATCCCCACCACCGTTTACCGGTCAGTTGCGCTACCGACCAGGGGACAACCCAATGACACAGAGAATCTCCACCATTGGTGGCCAAAGTCTGGCCCGTTCTTGCTGATAAGCAACGACTGCGACGACACCATCAATTCTTGGGTCCAACGATGTTTTCAGGCAAGGGGATGTAGACTAATTTGCGGTAATGCTCTGGGTATTCGTTGGATGGGTCCAACTTTGCCGTTGGCGCTCGCTTGGCTCGCAACCTTCGAGACGGATGCGACCACGACTTTAGTGGCTAGGGACGGGCACGTGAGCCAATTTTTGGTCTCCTTTGAGCGGCACTGGATGCCTTCTTGCACTGCAACACTTTTAAAAAAGAGCGACGGCAAAACTTCCAGCGTCCGCCGACACTGCTTGCAGCCTTCGAGACGACGAAGGACCACGACTATAGCTAGTTACTAGGTCACCATACGATCATACATGTAGCAAAGAGTCGCTAAACTAAGAAAATTGCGCCGAGGTACCGCGACGCGCGCCAACTTTTGGTCTCCTTTGGAGTGGCTCTCTACGCCTTGCACTTGCACTCTCCGACAAGCGACGGCAAGACTTCCAGCGTTGTTGTTCCTCAAGTTGACTCGGGGAACGGATCAAAACAGCCATTTTTGAATCGGCACTGTTTGCTTGGCGTGACGCAAAATCTTATTCACATCATTGATACCTTCAGGAACTCATGAATAAGCGCGGAACCCTCCACCGGAGGATCTGTCCAGTTCGTTTCATGGCCGGGGGCACCTTTTTTGGGCAGTGGTTGAATGATGATTCTTCGAGTGCAGCAAAGTCCCCAGACACTAGAACTACATGTAGTGAACTGAATCGACGTAAAATGTATATTGATACTAGTAGTTACTATCATGACTGTCAAGAGTGGAGCGCAAGCCTTAGCATAGGCTGCAATGTATTGATTTTGTCGATCTCTAAGAGGTTTTGGTGCCGCTGCGTGGGGTCCCCGGCCCACTCCCAAGCCAGCTTATTGCTTTACCCTCTTTGCGTTCCTCCTTCGCTTATTGCTGGGTTCTGGGTTCGCTTCAGCCTTGTCATCTTGCTTGCCCTCGGCTTTGGTCTTAGCTTCGTCCTTGTCTTCCTCTTTCTTGGCGCCAGCCTTGTCATCTACTTTCTTGTCGTCGGCCTTGTCTTCCTCTTTCTTGGCGTCGGCCTTGTCTTCCTCTTTCTTTGAATCAGCTTTGTCATCTACTTTCTTGTCTTCCTCTTTCTTGTTGGAATCATCCTTCTCTTCTTCTTTCTTGGCATCGGCCTCGCCGTCTGTTGTCTTGGCTGCTTCCTTGTCGTCAGCTTGTGCGGCTTCTTCAAAGGCTTCCACAGCTTTCGCCATTTCTTTACTCATTGCTGCGGTATCCAGCTTTTGTTGTCGTTGTTGCTTGTCTCGCTTGGCCATTCGCACAGCCTTGCCGCCGTAGCTGTTCGACTCGGCGTTGTTGCCATCTTTTGGCTTGGCTTCTGTACTTGCTTCTTGTTTGACTTCACTTGCTTCTGTACTTTCTTCCTGCTTGGCTCCTTCTACAACTGGAACCGTTGTTGGCGCGACCTTATTGTTTTTCTTTGTGAGATATTTGACCCTCCTGGGACGCTTGGTGGCGGGAGGCTCGGTCTCTTTTGGTTTGTCGTTGTTTTGTTGTTCTTGTTGTTGTTGCTTTTCTTCTTCTCCATCAGTGGCATGATGTTCCTTGGCAATGTCTCCAAACTTTGCCATGAGCCCGAGCGGTGCTTCCTTGACATCGTGATTTTCATGCCACTTGACAAAATCCAATCCCATCTTGAGGTCCTTGCTGATTTCTTCCAAGGTATCAAACCACAAGTTGATGGCCGCCACGTACTTTTGACTATTCTTGCGTTTGCGATGACTTTTAGGATCGGGAATCATCCACGGTTTGCTGCCTCCCATAAAGTGGGCAATATCCCGATAGGGCACCACACACTGATGTGGTTTCTTGTATTTGGATGCCTGTTGATGTTTTTCCTCATCGCAATTGAATTGATGAACGAGTGGATTCTCGTGCGAGTACGGTCCCAACGGTTCCAACCGCAAATTCATTTCAAGCGTGGGTTTGGAGAATCCATCAATCGTCTTGTTGGCATTCACGCCGGCATCAATCCAATTCTCAATCTTATCTTGAATAATAATAGACACATTGCGTTTGTAGAATTTGGTCCAGTAGTACAACAATCCCTGATCGGAATGTCCGGCATGGTACCTCCATTTCTTTCCGTACTTGATAGTCCCATGCCATTCGTCATTTTCCGCTTCAAAGTCATATCCCCATCCCCGATTCCAACTGAAATGTGGATAGGGCAATTGCTTGCCTTCTTCCTTCATGCGTCGAATAATGGCTTGCAATCGTTCCCAACCTCCGGCTTCTGGTTCTAGCATGAAAAGACCGGCATTGCAGGGTTCTCCTCGTGTGGCCCAAATCATGTTGGGTTTCAAAAAGGTCGGTGTGGATTTGTGGTCAGCGTCCGACAAATGAAACATGTAATCGAGATTGGCAAGTGGAATGGCATCGGCATCCATAAACATGACACGTCGGTATTGGACCAATTGCAGGGCGCGAAACTTTTCAAAGACCAATCCGGCAAAGGATTCGCGATTGGGTTTGGGCAATGGAATGATTTGAATATTCAACGCGTGTAAATGATCCGTGTCTTCTTGTGGCAGAGCATCGAGTGGAGAATCGGGAGACATTTGCGTAAAGAGAACGACATCGGCGGTGGATCCGAGTTTGCGAAGAAGACGCGTCGCGACGAGCACATCGTAGACAAATCCCTTGTAGGCGGGTCGGTCTTCGTGAATTCCGCCAATGACAAACATGTACGCGTAGGGGCTCTTGGGAGTGAGGTTGTTGATGGTCACAGCAGTGGTTTCCGTCAAGTTGATTTGGGGATCCGATACAGTAATGACGGCCGAACTGTTTTTGGCGGTGACTACTACTACTTCTGTTGCTTTAGAAGTTGGGTTGGCCGTGGGAGACGCCGTGGGAGCGCCTGTGGGAGCCACCGTTGGACTGGCTGTGGGAGACGCGGTGGGACTGACGGTAGGACTGGCAGTAGGAGCTGCCGTAGGCATGCCTTGTCGTAGTTTTTGTTGTGTGAGTTGTCCAATGGTCCGAAGCAATCCTTCCTTTTCCGCGACGGACAATTGACTGGTGGCCACGGAACTACTGAGGGATTCCAAACTCATTCCGTCGCCCAGCAGAGCGCGTTGTTGTTTCTGTGGAGCATCTTCATTCTCACGTCCAGCACCCACCATGGATTGGAGCAATGGAGATGTCAGGAGCAAGTGGTGCACGGCCACGGTAACTCCCAACAAGACCAACAAGGATTGCACCAATCGAGATTGAAACGTTTTGCGGTGAGAAGAGTGCGAAAAGTCTTCTCGACTCGGTACTCGACCAATATTGCTGCTGATCGAACCAG